CGAGGATGCGGTGTCCCGCTCCAGGTCTAGGTCCATTTCCAAGTTCAAACCAAATATCAAATCAGATTCTCGTTCCAGGTCTAAATCTGATTCAAAGCCAAGATCCCGGTCCAAGTCCAGGTCTAGGTCTGCCTCTCGGTCACACTCCCGGTCGCGGTCAAGGTCCCGCTCCAGATCCTAACCTTGCTTCCACACCACTTGGAATGGTTGGAGAAGTCTTTTGTACATGTTTAGTAGCTGTAACAAGTGATTGAAGTAGAAACCCTGTCGATGCTGTGTATTTTTAACAAGCTGATGGTCTGTCTGTCATTAACTGCAGCGCTCTCTCCCTGCAGCGCTCTCTGGTGTGAGGCTGCTCCACTCACTTTCTATCCAATAGAAAGGTTCTCTTCACACGCAGCTCTTCCTCGAGCCCCCAGATTACCCTGTTTTCCAAGGAGAACCTTGCAGGGAATGAGCCCAGGGAATGAGCACTGTGCCCTGGTGGGTTTATGGGATTACAATGATGACTGATAGGTAGGTATGACGGATTCAACAGACTTTGCCCTCGATTGATGCCCTTTGATGTCTGCCATTTAGTGGAAGTGCTAAGTCTTAAGTTTCATACTACTTTTGTTCCATATTTTTTGGACTTACAAAGTTGTGAATAGCACAGTCAAAAGGAAAAAAAATAGAGGTACTTGCAGTAATCTATAGGGAAAATAACTATAGTTCCATATTCTGGTATTGTGACAATATCCTTGTTTTATATTAAATTTTTTTATTTTATTTTTCCCTGTCTTGCAAAGTACAGTGATCCCCGTTTCCATGAAATTTGAATAAAGACTATTTTTGCTTGATGATATTTGGTTACGTGGTGCTGTGTTGTGATTGTCAGCATTTTCTATTGATCAAGGTAAGCCTGAATTTGTAGAGAGTCACAGAAAAAAGGTTCCTAATTCAGAAAGTCGCTTCACATTCACTGTAGGCACAACACTTGAGTACAGTCCAGATAAAGAACTTATTTCTCCAGCATATTTTTCAGGAGTTTCTCCTCCTACTAAAACACCTGTGCTTGAGAAGAGCCTTCATAAAAGAAAAAGCTCAGGATGTGCTTCTGGGCTTGGAAGCACAGAGGGTGGTGGGGCTGTTCTGTGGTATGGCCCCAGCATCCCCGGGGACCTGGGGAGATGGGAGGGCAGCTTCTAGCAAGAGTTTTGTAGGTGTGTAGGTGTTTCTGAATAATATCCCAAATTTAGACTTGGGCCATTTGCAAATTTCTCAGACTGAACTTCCCACAATCTCTTCTCCTGCACAATCAGCTTTGAATGAAGAAGTGGCATTCCCAGCACCTGTTCTGCCTGCAAGAAACATTCTGAAAAATAGAACACAAAATGTATTTTGTGAGTTCTTGGTCTACAATAAAAAGGTTAGTTACAGCTTCCTCTAGTATTGTCCTTTAGCCAATTCCAAACTGCTCACAACTTGATGGCAGCGGCTCTCCAGCGAGAGTCACTTCATAGGTGCAGTAATTGCATGTAATTTGATCATTTGGAACTTGTCCTGCTATATTAAAAAGATTAAGAGGTAATAGATCATCAGAGTTGCTTGCAACACAAAATATCTCCCCACACTTTGAGAGGGGTCAGGGCTTGGCAAGTGGCTCAGACTTTATCAAATGTCATATTGCCATGGCAGCATGAGACATCTCTGTGGAAGAGATACCTTCAGAAGGAAAAGCCTTTTCCAGTTATATAGATATTTAGTGCTTTAACATCTTATACTCTCAAAATTACCTTTTAAATCCTTTTTGGTGCTTAATACAGAAGCAAACCAGACAAGGCAAGATGTTTTCTAGTAAGGGATAATTAACAAAAATAAGAAAATCTGCAAATTATAGTCTAGGTAAAGACTAAAAAGTGACTCCAGTTTCTGCTGCCTGGCAACTGTGTTCCAAATGACCAAGCCAGATTTTAGTGAGCCCTTTGGGAGAAGCATCTATTCCTTAAATACCCGAGGACAGACCTCCCACATACCTAAGGGAGATATGTGGGAAACTTGTCTGAGGTGGAAGTTGTGCAGAAAGCCAAAAATCCTTCATGTGTGAGCGCCTGGAGTGATGGTGGTTCCTGGGTGTGCAGTGCAGGGTTTGGACACACCACCCATTGCAGGAGCACCTGTGCTGTACTGCCCAGAGCAGGGACAGACCTTGGGATGGGCTCATCCTCCCCAGCCACACATGTGTGGGTTGGAGTATTGGAGCAGGAATTTCCAGGGAATGGACATTTTGAGACATCTTAACTGCTGATAATTAGTGTGAAGCATTGGGAGTGTCCCCAGAACAGTGATTCCATGGGCAGTGCCAGGCACATGCCTCAGCTGAGCGCTGCTGCATCATTCAGTGTTCACTTCTGTCTCACAAACTTCACTGAGTGAGTCTCACCCATTAATTTTGCATTAAAGTGTGGGATTTGCATCAAAACCTCCAGCTCATATGGCTCCCTGGTGTGGGCACTTTGCCTTTCCCAGGCTGGACTTGCTACAGTCTTGATCTCCTGAAACTGCAGAGATCTGCCTGGCAGCAGGTGTGAAACCAGGGCAATGGTAATATAAAATATTAACAATAATAATTATATTGCATAGCCAGAGAGGAAGATTAGTGGAATGTCTATTGCAATAATTCCACAATATTCCCAAGTAACATTTCTGTGTGAATAATATATACAAAGTGAGAACTCAGCTTTAGGCTGGAAGTACCTACACGCACTGAAAAACAGCCCCAAATCTGATTTAGGGTTGAGGTAATTGTCTTATGGGGCACCTTGGAGGTGAGCTCTGAGGAGGGAAGGCAGGAATGCATGTGGTGGCACCGGGCAGGCTCTGACAAAACAATCAGTAGAGCAGCAAGACAAAAGGGCAAGAAGCCCCAAACCAGGGATCTCTCAACAAAGCTTACAACAATTAAAATCAAATTAAGAGTCTAAATAAATATGGATGGCTCAACTACTTGTAAAATTTTTTAGCTCCAACAGCCCTGTAAACCTGGACCCACTGAATGCTTCAACACTGGCTGTAAGCGTTTTAACTGGAACTTGCTGCCACAGATGAGGTAAGAAATGTATTTGTTTTCTGACTAAATTTAAAGATTCTAAAGGGTATTTTATGTGCCTCACTCGAGGGATGAAGAATATTGTGATGTGTATTTCAAATGAGCCATTGCAAATCTCATCTATTATTTTCCCGAAATCCCATTCCATTTAAGCTGTCACAGCTTGGGGCCCGCTTGTGCTCTTGGTGGAAACCCCCGACGCATCATTAAAATATCCTACCCCCACCTCTTTTATTGTTCCAAAATACAAAGGAAAATAATAGTCCCAGATGAGAAGACAAACAAGTTTAACAAATGCAGAGAAGACGGGGCAATATCCTCTGTTACTCCAGCGGGACGCCGTGGTCACGATTTGCTGGATGCCGGCGGCAATGGCGATGTACAGCCCCCGTCCCAAACCTCCCCTTCCCAAACCCCGTCTCAGCCGTGACCGTGCCCCAAGGCCCAGGGCCGTGCCCAGGCTTTCCCCGGCCGGCCCGGGAGCGGGGCTGTGCCCCTCACACCCACGCGCCCCCTCCCAGTGCCCCCCGTCTGCCCCGTCCCAGCGCCAGCTCTGCCCCAGTTCACGCCTATCCCAGTGGCAGTCCTGTCCCAGTGCCAGCCCTATCCCAGTTCATTCCCACCCCACGCTTCCATGTCCCGGTACCACCCCATTCCAGTGCCATCCCTACTCCAGTGCATCTCCACGCCACTGCCAGCTCTGTCCCAGGTCGTCCCCGTACCCCAAACCCAGTACCCCATACCCAGAGCCCCCTGTCCCAGTACCACACGCGCAGTTTTCCATATCCCAGTACTCCACATCCAGTACCGCCCCGCGCCCGGTCCCCATCCCCAGCCAGCGCCGCCTCCCCCGGGCCGGGGCCGCGCATGCGCTCGGGGGCCCGCGGGGCTCGCAGCGCTGCCTGGGCTCCATCGCGAGGCCCCGGAGCGGCGGCGNGTGAGTGAGGGAGGGCGGGGGTCGGGGCCGGGCGGGGGCGCCGCCATCTTGGGGGGTGGGGGACCCGGAGCGCAAATGGCGCCGCGGGGCCGGGGCTGCCGGGGCCCCGCGGGGCGGAAAGTGCGTTTAAACCCCCAAAGGGGCAAACCCACCGCGAACCCGCCCATGGGCGCCGGTAGAACGCGGGCTTAAGTTCTTTGCACGGTCATGAAGTATTTACACTTTCTGAGGTGGTGGTTGCCCGATTTTGACCCAAGAAGTTGAGGAGAAAATCGAGGTTATCCCGCCTGGGCGCCGCTCCGGTGAAACTCCTCGGGACTGTGACAACTCAAAAATACTAACAAATCCAGTATAAATCCAGTGCAGTGGAAGCCGTTCTTGGAGACCTCCCGAAAACCAGAAAGATTGAAGTTTGAAAACAGATTCTACATGACGGAAAAAGCAAAAAACCATCAAACTTTCTGGCAGCAAATTCAAAGTGCAGAACTAATGGAACGGGGATTTTGGGAGGGGAAGACCGCGCTGAATAAATAGAGGGATAAATATAATCATTCAAAAGTATCGATCGGTGCGGGTGGGGGTCGGTGTGGGACAGTCTGAGCGATGTTTGGTGTCAGGAGAAAGGGATTAGAACAGTTTTGTGGGCTCCTGGTGCTGCAAGAAATTGGATTAGATTTATACTATGAAAACATTTAATTTATTCAATTACTGCCCAGATAAATTTTAAAAAATAGCCTGTAACTGGGATTAAGGGATAAAGAGCTCTGATATTTTGTGCCAAGTTGTAACAGACCTTTCTGGTCTGTGTTTTATTATATAGTAAAACAAAAGTAAAAAAGAGGGAGAACAGGGACTTGGTGCTTCAAGCTTTCCTTCCCTACACAGCAATTAAGAGCAGTCTGGCGTGGTCTAATCAGCGTTTTGCTTCCTCAGTTTATGATCTATAATCTACTCAGATTATACCTTTTTGAGGATGGGAACAGTCTTTTCCTGAGTGAGTATTCCTGCTTGGCCATGGGAGATATGTAATAATGATTAATAGGAGTCCCCAGGGTAGTCTGCTGGATTGCAGTCTTACAAAGTAATTACAGATGCAATTAAAACAGAGGATGTTTTTGGCCTCTGTGCACTGGTTTTGCCCTAAAATTGATTGCACCTTATACTGCAAGTAATCCCATTAAAGCTGAACGTGTGTGAAATGAATTGTAATTCCTGGTGAGTGCTGGGGTGGAATCAGAGCCCAGTTTGAGCTGCTGAGGACAGCTGGGTACAACTGCTGGGCAGGTTGTACAGGGCCAGCTCCGTTTGTCTTGGCCAGAGGTGATTTATTCTGTCTTCAGGATTTCATTGCCGTGATGAGCAAATTGCAGGAGGTGAGTGGGTACACAGCCAGATGTACTCTACAGACCACTGCAGCCCCACTGGCTCCTCAGGACCCAGGGTGTGTTTTATTGCATCAGCCATGCTTTGGCAGCAATTTTATCACCAGTTTTTTATTTACTGAAATTTTAAGGCTTCACACTGATTTTTAAAAGTAGCATTGTGAATTTATTTAAAGCAGTGTCTGCAGTCTTGCTTTAAATGCGCTTAAAATTGTGTTGGTTTATCTGCAGAAGGACTGGCTAGCCCTTATCTCACTTCCATCTTCATGCAAAGTGTTTAGTGCAGATACCTCTGGGTATGACAATATATTCCATTGGTGTTGAGGGTGAAGCTTCAGTGTAACCCCCTTGTCCTTTTCCATGAGTGCTGGTAGTTTTTGAGAGATGACGTGCTGCAAGCCTGACACTAGGACATGGAATCAGATTCTCTCGGGATGACAGTGGAGATCATAAAATCATGGAATACCCTGAGTTGGAAGGGACCCACAGGGATCATTGAGTCCAAGTCCTGGCACAGGACACCCCAACAATCCCTCTGTGAGTGTTATCAGACTATAAGGTGTGGGGTGTCCGTGTGCCAGTCCATGCCTCACCTCTGGGCAGGAAAGTGTTCTGGAGGCCTAAATCCCATTCTCAGAATTGCACAGTTTGAATATCAAGGAAATGTAGATAAACTGGATCAAAACCAGATTGACCCACAGCAGTGATTACTCTGGGCATTTACAGTCTCTCTGTGAAATAACAAGGTGATTAATGAGTTGCATTGTCAGTTCTTCTTCCCCACACGCTGTTCTCTCTGTCCCATATTTTCTGTAATTTTTAATCTATTTCAGCCTTTCCTCAAGCCCTCCAATAGTGCTGCATGGGCACAAGAGCAGGAAGAAGGAGACACAGTAGGATGAAGAATCAGATTGGAGACTTGGGGGAAAAATGACCAAGTGAGTCCTTGTTAAGGAAGTCTGGCAGCTGCACACTCCTGCACGTGGAATCAATTACCAACCAAAGCCAACAGAGATCTGACCAAACCCTCTTTCTCCTAATTAGCATCACTCACTGTTCTCCACAGGTGAGGTGTGAGGGCAGACGTGCTTTGCTGAATTTGGCAGATTATTTTCCAGAGAATGGTTTAATTTACTGGTAAAATACTTTACCCCCAAGGAAAGGATGTTTTATTGCTAGGTTTAGCGTCTTTTGGCTCACCTCCTGTTTGTTTTGGTTTGTTTTTTAAATTTCTGATTGAATCCAGCAAAGTGATGGGATAAATGCATGGTAGAGCTAAGCAAACAGGTAGAGGTTGTATTCATGAATCACACGGGATTTGTTTTGACAACACTATTTATGCTGTAGCTTTTTAACTCGGCTGAGAGAATTGGGTTTGTTCAGCCTGGAGAAGAGAAGGCTTCAAGGTGACCTAATTGCAGCTTTCCAGTGCCTAAAAGGAACCTACAAGAATGCTGGAGAGAGACTATTGACAAGGGCCTGGAACAACAGGGGAAACAAGAATGGTTTCACACTGACAGAGGCAGGTTTAGGTCAGATATTGGGAAGGAATTCTTCTGTGTGAGGGTGGGGAGGCCCTGGCACAGCTTACCCAGGGTAGCTGTGGTTGCTTCTGGATCCCTGGAAGTGTCCAAGGTCAGGCTGGAAAGGGCTTGGAGCCACCTGGGATAGTGGAAGGTGTCCCGGCCCATGGCAGGGGGTGAGACTGGATGGAATTTAAGGTCTCTTCCAATCCCAATCCATTCTAGGATTCTGTGATTCTACTTTGGGTCACTCCTGCAGAGCATGAAGGTTTTTAAGGTGTGTAATTCCTGTGTGGCTTCAGGTGATGTTCAGAAGTGTGTTTAAGCGTTGTAGTGATTACGAGTGATTCCCAGGGACTGGGATTAGCAGCTCTCTGGTTTCAGGCCTGGAGGAGACATTCCTGGGGCTCCCAGCTGAACCCCATGGACGTTTGTGCATGGCTCATGCAGCCCTCCCCAGAGCCACTGCCCTTCCCAAGCAGGAGGAGATGAGAGTTGGGAAAGCAGCTCAGCTCCAAAGACTCCTAGTGAAAGCCATAAAACTGGAAGTACACTCTGTTTCTGCTCCTCTCTTTCCATAAAGGTTTTGTGCCTTCTTTTGCATCCCTCCCAGTCTGTTTGGAACAGGTCAGGATGTCCAGCATGGCACCGAGTGCCTGTAAGTACAGGAGAGAGGAGCTGCTGCCACATGGCTGTCACGGTGTCACCCAAACCTACAGAGACAGGCAGCAAGGTGGGTGTGGTGGCAAAGGGGGACTGTCAGACTCGACGAGGCAGCACTGTCAGGTGTGTGATCCGTGTGCTCCGTGGGAACGCTGGAATGCCGGCTGGCATCGGCAGGGAGGCGCTGGGAGTGGAACGGGCACACATTCAGCAGCCACAGCCTGTGCCAGTGCTTTTCTTCTGACGGCTGACATAGATACGTGAGTGTGTTTTTGACACAGCCGTGTCAGCAGACCAAGATGAGCAGCTCAAAGACTCCTGCAGTGCTTTGGGCTTCATTCTAGGATGAGCTGCTGGTTTAGAGTAAATTCACAATTTTGCTGTCTGATCCTATGAGCTGATTGAGGTCACATTGCCATGGTGCTGTTTATTTGTCTCCCAGTGCAATACCATACCATAATCCATATGTTATCATGTGCTTAGGGGAAACTTGGAAGGGCTCTGTTGTACAAATGAGCAGGACAAACTCCTGAAAACCCAAGTACTTCATCTTGTGGTCCTGTGGCAGAACCTAGACAAAAAGTGTTTGCTTTTCCTCTGTATCAGCCAAAGCATCCCTCTCCTTTCCTAGATCCTTTTCCCACTCTAATCTTTCAGAGCAATCTTTTCCTTGATTTGTTGTTAAAATTTTTCCCTCTTAATGGGAAACAAAAATTAGTAAGAAGTGTAATGGGCAGCTCGGAATTTTTCAGTTCTGAATTTTGTCTTTTTTTCCCTTCACTGACATAGACAGTCTCTTCACGGCATTAAATGCTTGCTGGTGGCTACTGGCACTTTCTTTTGAGGCATTGGTACAGTTCCATTGCAGGCTCTGAAGGTTCATTTCAGTCCCTAACTGATGAGGCTGGGGTTTTAGTTGGTAATGCTGTTAGTTCAGCCTTGCAAAATATTGCTTGCCTGAGGTGAGTAACAGGTTTTGATGGGTGAGTAAAGCATCATCTGTCATCATCACAATCAAGTACAGGCGAGGTGGCTGTGTCTGAGCTCCTGAGTGTTCTGAGCAGTTCTGACTTTAGTTGTGCTGCAAGGAGTCATGATGGGTTTTGTGTGTTTGTGTTTAAAGTGCAGCTCTGTTCCTCACTGATGGCACAGGAGAGCCTGGCAGATGTCACATGTCAGGTGTCAGACACCGCTGCAGAGCTCCCAGGAGATGGGAGGTCTCAGAGCCAGTTTGCACTGAATGAGAGGAGCAGCTCTGCTCAGCTCCTGCCCTGTTTCAGGGCAGAAAGGTGATTTGTAAATCAGTTATTCCCAGAACAGCACAGTATTAGATGGTTCCCTTGATGCCAGGTGCTTGTTGAATAGGATTTTACCTCCTGGTCCATGGAAACTTAGCCAGAAATACTGTAAACTTCATGTTAATACTTGATTTACAGTCTTTGGGTTTATTGCACCATTTCATTCCTCACCAGAGAGAGACACTGAAATCCTCATGTCATTGGAAATTATCCTGGCAGCACCTGAAATGGGATTTCTGTTGAAATGTTTCTCTTCCCATCAAGTCTGATGGTGTTTATAGAAGTAGAGTGAACCCCCATCCACCCATTTAGCCTTCACACTCACTTTGAGTGAGTGCTTCTTGTTTGTTTTTTTGGTTTTTTTTTTTTTTTTTTTTAAATTTTTTATCCCCTGGCAAAGGTAAGATGTTTTTAAAAGTGAACTTTTACCCTTTTTGCTTCTTGTATTTTTTTTTTTTTTTTAATTTTTCATCTCCTGACAAAGGTAAGATGTATGTTAAAAGCCAAAGCTGGTTTTCTACAGTAACAATGAGGTGGTTTCCTAAGCCTGCACTGGTTCAGGGGCAGAAATGAGATCAAACCCTGAGTATTTCTGACCTCTTCCTATGGATTCCCTGTCTAAAGATAAAGCATAGAGGTCTGGGTGGAAGCATATTAATTAGGCTTCATTCTCTCTGCCAGCCTGGCAATCATTTATAATTTCATAAATCTGAATCTGCAACTTGGAACTGAATGACTCATCTCAGTTTTGCAGTATCTTCTTTTGCCTTAATGTTTCTGAGACTTAAAATGCTAAAGATGAATAGAAATCACAAACTGGGACAAACAAGGAATGTTTGGGCCTGACTATGGTTCTTCAAAATGTTTCATGTTAGTTTCTGCTCTCCTTTTAATTGCCCCATTTGCTGCCTTTTATTGGATTGTCTTGATTTTATTGCAGATTTTACTGATAAGGGAGCGTTATAAGAAAAGCAATTTCTTTATTATATTTTTGTGTTGGTTTTACTGGATTTATAAAATGCAGAGATGAGAAAGACCAATTATTTTATCAGGACTTCTCTGGTTAAGTTCAAGATTATTTTCTGCATTGTGATTTTTGACAGTTTTCCTGGCCCAGTTTGAAGTAAATTCTCCAAGTTAATTACTTCTGTCCAAGTAACTTTCAAACTCCTTCTCCCAGAGGGAGCTTTGTAAATAATCTTGACGCTTGAGCTTCTTTATTTTTAAAGCCTGAATGCAAAGAATAAAATCTAAAAAGGGATGGGCTTGCCTTTGTTGAAACTGGCAACCAAACATTTGCTACAGACAAATGTTCATAGATGTACAAGGCTACATCAAATATTAATATATTAAACACCACCCAACACAAGCTCATTGAGTCCAGTTCCTGCCTCTCCCTGCAGCCGGGGGGATGTGGATGTGTTCTGTGACCCTGAACACGGACACCGGCCGCAGATGTTCCACACCTGCAGTTCCAATAAACCAGTGGAAGCTGGGGAACTCCTGCAGAGGTTGTCCCAGAGATATTTGCTACTGCCATTTTCAAACATCTGTCCTGCTTTTGGCCCAACTAAAATAATCATAAAGAGCTGTGGTGGTGCTGGCATTGGAGCTGCAGGAATGCTGAAGTGTCCTGTGTTGGCCTGCATCAGGTCTGTGGGTCTGCCTTTGGCTGAATTATGCTCACACTGAGCCTGTAGGTAGGAAGTTGAGCACCTGGAAGGCTTCAGGTCAAGAATGGAGTTCAGGGGCAAACAGGGCTGTCATGAATCAGAACCAAGGTCTGATGGTGACAAACCTGGGGTTCTGTGTTACAGGAGGGGGAGTGGCTGTTGACCTTCATTTGCAAATGAAGGTATTCTGCTGTTCTGTTCCTTTGTGCTGAAAACAAATACACACAATTGCCTTCAAGGCTGCAAGTTCTGAGTCTTGGGAAGGAAAATATCAATTTCCAGTGAGATAAATTTGAGCTGAAGGAACTTGAGAGCTCTGAAAAATCAGGTTGTTTTTACCGCATCAGGCATTCAGAATCGGGCCCCCATCGTTCAACCTGTGTTCATAATCTTCCTTTTCTTCCTCCTCCTCCCTTTGAGCAGTGGGGAAGGGCTATGAAGGACCTTAAGCTATGAGGAAACAATTCTGCCAGCAGATGTGAATAAACTTTCATGTTTGGAGTGTTCTGAGATCAGTGGTCTACACTCCCATAAAACATGGAATTGGTCCATTGACTCCTTTGGGTTATTTTGCAGTGGTGTGACTTTTTCCCTGTGTTCAATCCAAGTCATTACACTTCTGCTTCTTACCCAGCAGTAACATTCCATTGCAGAAACAGCTTCACTTTTATTGATTCCTCCTAATAGCAGAGAATCAACAAAGCACCACGTTATTTATTAGACTGAAAGACACCAAATAATAATGTGTTGTTTTATATTAGATGATCAAGTGTAAGAACCCTCAGTACCTTGGTTAGTGGATCTGGTTGGAATGTTCAGCTGGAACACAATAACTGGCTGCCCAGAGAGCTGCTTTATCCTTAAGGTGCCAGATATAATTTTTTTTCCTGTTTAATCCTTTTTCCTCCTCTCCCTGCTATATTCCAGTTCTTGCATGCGCAAAATGCATTTTTCCTTAATACCATTCAGGAACATCTCTGGAAGGACAGATTATTTCTGGAGGGTTTGTGTGGATTTCATATTAGCAAACCTTCTCCACTGAGCTCTGTTGTGTAAAGGAAGATTCAGCCCTGATAGTAAAGTCTGCATTTCCAGAACTTAGGAATGAAGAATAGAGCTGTGTGATGAAACTGGAGGTTTTCCCCGTGATCGGCCAGGCCTCACCCTCTGATCAGAGACTGTTAGTAAAGATGCTCATTGTTTTTCTAATACAAATTTTTGTGTTCTGGGATTTGGGTTGGGCTTCCCCAGCTCACCTGGCCACAGGTGCACTGTGAGATTTTGGCAGGAGGGAGCCCCAGGCTCCGTCTGCACCGGTTTGTGCAGGGGCATCACTGCCCTGGAGACCTCTGCTCCTGCAGTACCATGGGCACCTTCCCAGCTCCTGGGCACAGGAACTCTGTCTGGAACAGCATGTGGAGCTTGGGCATCTCCTTCCACTGTCCTTCTGCCATGGCACTGAGCTGTCCCATCAGCCTCTGCCCCTGGAATCTGCACCAGGATGCTACTGCTCCTGAAGTGTTTGAGGGAGATGAACAGGATGGAATCCTGCAGGAAGCTGAGTCCACTTAGAATTATCATTTCTTCAGAATGGGACATTTCTCTTTGTGTTGAAATGAAATGATGTTCTGTCTCCTTGGTCTGCAAAGAAGAATGTGAGCCTTCCAGAAGCAAGTCCAGCATCTTTGAAGCTTTAAGAAATACAAGCTTTAGATAAAGAGAGGGAAGAACATTTGGGATGAAGCTTTGATAGGGTGCTGGAGGCAGGATCCTGAGGCCAGGAAGCACACAGGAGTAGAAGGTGGGGCTTCTCCATTCAACAAAGGAGCCCTGTTTCAGAGTCAAGCAAATGCTTTCAGACTGAACTTTCAGTGAAGTGCAGATGGCTGAGAAAAGGTCTCAGACTAATGAAGTGCTTGGAATAAAAGCTTTGGAGCAGAGCTTGCAAATGCAACCACCTTTGACTTGCCTCTTTCATTCTGGAGTTCAGTAGCTCCATAATGCACACAATAAGGAAGATCAAGGAATGGGTAATCTTTGCAGCTATTGGCTCATCAGAAAGGTGGTTTTTTTAGTTTAATTTTTTTATGCTTGGTTGCATTTACAGGTCAGGAGTAATAAAAGATGCATAGTGACACTATTTAACACACTTTAATAATTTTATCTGGACCAGTAAAGTGTTCCTGCATGGCCTGTGTTTTAAGCTCCAAGGATGAATCTCTGAAGTCTGCCACGTATCATGCCTTTTCCAAAGCTGCCCTATGTGTGTCTGGATGGGTTTTCTGGTTCTGCATCTAGAATTTCTGTGATGTCCTTGGCAGGACAGGCTGAGTGTGTGCAGGGCTGTGCTGGAGCAGGGGTGAGTGTCAGACCCCTCCCTCCTTCCCAGCTCTGTCCTCCCCTTAGCGGCACAGGGAGATAGTAATGGGGGTTGTGGTCAGTTCATCACGAGGTTGTTTCTGTTGCTGCTCAGGGAGAGGAGTCAGAGTCCTTCCCTGCTCCAGCAGGGAGTTCCTCTTGTGGGAGACAGTTTTTCATGAACTTCTCAAAGTGAGTCCATCCCATGGGCAACAGTTCTCCACAAACTGCTGCAACGTGGGTCATTCTTTCCCGGGGTCAGCTCTTCAGGCTGTTCAGCATCACTTACTTTGTAAATCACCAGTTTCCTTTGATGAAATTACTCACTGTTTCAGCAGAGCTCCCTCACAATAGTATCAAGGAGTCATGAACGTTGGAAAAGACCTTTAAGATCATCAAGTCAACCAAAATGTGCCTGAGAGTACTATTGGAGACCAGTGCTCCAAAACAAAAACATTACAAATAAAAGGGGGTTTTCTCTGCCTAGCTGGTGTGGCAGCACACTGGTGATGGTTACTTCCCTCACAATGGGATTTGAGTGTCAGTTAATGAAAGTTTATAAAGGACTTTGACAGAACTCATTGCCTGAAAGGTGTTTTAACATTTTAATTTGATAGTTGTCTTTTTCTTTACTTCTGCAGTGCCAAGACAAGCCGTGCCCTGCTCTGATTCCCAAACCTGTGAGCAAATGGATTGCTTTGAGAATGGAAAGATTTGCAATCAAACATGCTCCCAGCAGCACAGGGAGAGGTACAGAAATCCCAGATTTTTCCCATTTTTTGTTTGAAAACACTTAAAGGTGTTGCTGTGAGTAGAATGAACCTGTCAGACCAAGTGTTACAGTTCTATATCCAGGAAATCCTGCAGACACCTTTCATTTCTTCAGGTCCTTAGCCCAGGCCTCCTCATTCCAAGATGTTCAGAGACACTGGAAACAGTGCAGGAATAATGTTTTAATTTTATATTGTTTTTAATTTTGGATGTTTAATGATATCAAAGACATTCCAGATGATTGCAGAAATGGGAAATAATGGAAATCTTACTACCAGCAGTGGCTGTCAAGTGGCTGAGGCTGGCAGACCTGTCAGACGTCTCCGGAGGAAGAGAAGATTGCCTCTGGATTCGGAGGATGAGGAGGAAAATGCATATGAGGATGAGGTAAATGAGGCTGCATGTACTTCCTTTAAGGAGAGCTGTGAAAAGCAGGGGCAGTTGTCTCAGAGTTCCTTGTGCAGTGACAACTGGGCTGAGGGAGCTTGTTCTGTACCCAGGGAATGGTCTGAGTCTGATCCTGATTTACATCAGTGATGGGGATATCTGTTCTGAGGAGTCACAGGGGTGAAAATAGCTCAGGTGAAGTGAAAGTCAGGAGTTCACAGTAATAACACCACGTGTCTCCAGAATAGCCACACTCGAATACTGGTGTGTGTAGATCAGTGTCAGACCACAGGGTTTGTTTGGGTTTTATTGCATACTTACATGTACTCTCACTGCACCACCAGAAACCTGTATTAGTGGTGTATAAACAGCAGTACCTCAGTCCTGATCTGATCTTTCCTTCAGTTTCCTGCAGCCCCTAACTCCCTCCTGGGGCCCCGTGCTCTGCTCCTGCCCATCAGTGCCTCTCTGAGCCATTTTATGTTTATTCACATAATGCAGGGTTCTCTATGGCAGAACAGGGGCAATAAAGCTGCAGCCTTTGCTGTTATGGGCAGTTTAACTCATTGTCTTGCTCAGCTTTTCTCTGGGATGTGGGTGAGATGTTTTAAGGGATGGATGTTTTCAGAAGTCCTTGCAGTCTGTCTCTTCCCCCTTCTCCTCGTTCTCATTAGAAACTGTGCCCCTGTCCCTTCTGGGGAGTGTTTGGCAGGCAGCTTTGTATGGCACATTTTGCCTGGTTTTGGTTTTTTCTGAGAAATGACAGCCTGGGAGGAAGCAAGCCCGAGTTTGCAAACACACAGAAGAAATGGGAATGATGGTGGGGCATGGAGTGTGACACAGAGAGACCACATTGTCTGGGGTGCTCATCTGTGACAGGAGTTACTTGAAGCTTCTGCTTCCTTCAGGGCTTCATCACTTCCTTTTTTCCCCCGTATCCATTCCCTTGCATAGATGGATGTAAGAAAGGGGAAGGAAAAAGGAGTGTTCCAGTAAGGCTGCTGATGTGAGCAGCAAATTCTGCATTGCAGAGAGCAGATCCTCTGTATTGTAATGGAGATTTTGGTCCTGTGCTGCTCTTTAACAGCCACATTTAAATGAACTTCAGTAGCATATATTAAATAACTTGTAAAGCACTTTGGGATACCAAGATCAGCATTATCTGTGTAACATTCCCTCCTGATGGTCTTTCAGGGTTGTTCAAGAGACAGCAATGCTGGCTAGTAGTCCTTTTAGATACCTGTTACATCCGTGTTGTACCTGCATTATGAGATGATCAGAGGGAGGGAAAAACAATCTCGCTAAACTTCTTTTTAACATATCTGTGTCTAGGAGAAGAATAAATCAAATAATATGAAAAGCCGCAGAAACACTAAACCAATAAAACAAGGTGAGCTAAGCTCATAGTCTCTTTTCTTTAATGTTTATAGATTTTTTTAGTAGCTATTATAAAGTGAATAATAATAAACAGAAGAATAAAGGACAGGAGAGCTCATTTCACATTCAGAACAGCTTATTAGGTACATAACCCTTTTACCACTGTCAGCTTCGGAGGTGTATTAGCAGGAGTATCCTGGATTTGCCTGCATGATGGATACAGGGTAAGGATCTGGAAGGAGCCAGCTTCATCCAGAGCTCTCTGAAGACAATAAGAATCTTTTTTTCATTAACTTTGGAGAGCTTCAGCCACAGCCTACAGTGCTAAGTAGAAAATAAATTGTAAACAACATGATTGATTGTAGATTATGAGTTAAATGTATTAAATACCTTAATATATGTAACTGGGCGGGAGAGTTTTAATATACATTTAGAATGTAATTTTCTGTGTGTATGACTGTGGTTCTACTAGAATGAATCCAAGTTGTTGTCATCATCTGGGAGCTGCCTCTCTAGTAGATTCATTGTGTTATTAGGAGGTTATAAATATATGTGTGTATATAAAAAATATTGTGAATTTAGCAAAAAAATCACTTATTTTATTTTAGGCTTATTTTAGCTGCAATTATATGCCTCTCTTTGCTGCCTGTTAGTTTATATTTAACCCCTTATTCCTCTGTGAAATGTCAGGAGGAGGAATTAATTCCCATAATTTTAAGTTTTTCTGTCTTGTCCGGACTTTCCCTTGGCACTTTTCCCTGGGCAGCTTGCCAGCAGTCCAGATGCCACAGTTCATTTGACCTGTGATACAATAAATTTTCATTTCCTGAGGAATGAGCACGGTTTTCCTATTGCTGAAATTTCCAAAAGCAAGCAAAAGCAAAGAGGGGAAGCAAAACCTTTCCTCAGAAGTTGAGTAACACTGCCTCTTCTGGGGTGCCACAGCAAACATGGGAGGAGAAGGAAAAAAGAGGAGCAGAAGCAGAGCAGGAGGCATCAGAGAGAGGCGTTAATTTTCTTGTTGTTTTTGATTAATTAGTGCTTCCTGGAAAGAAGAAGGTATGGAACTGGTCTTCCTACTTGGAAGAGGAACAGATGCCAGCTGCTCCCCAAAAGCTGTTCAGAGAGGTTGGCAGGTTTTTTCACACTCTTGCTGTTTTTCTTGGGCAACATCACAGGATTACTGGCAGTCACAGGATTACCAGCTCGGTGGAGGTGGGACTGAAGACCACCCTTAAGCTAGCACTTGTCTTTCTGAGTTGCTTTGGTACAAGTAGGCCAGGGAAACAGGCATTTACCCTGGGTGTCTCATCCCAAACCAGAGTGTAAAAAATGCTGGTTGAATCTCACAAATAAGCAGCAGCTGTTTGGATCTGATCTGCTCTGCTCTGGACCAGTTAGGCAGCTTCCAAGGATGGCTGGGGAGGGACAGCCTGCTGTCTGTCACATATCCTGTGGGACTGTACAGCCCTCCCAGCCTGTCCCTGTGGGAAGCCATGAGTCTGCTGGCTCAGGGAATGGTGTGGGCACGGTGGGGAGTGCCAGGAGGGAGGGTGGGCTTGTGCCAGTCACATGGCAGTGCCAGAGGCTGAGTTCAGCTTGGTGAAGCTGCCTCTGCACCTCAGCTAAATGTGCAGCTCCCAGTGGGCTCTCCAGAGCCCAGAGCTGTTGGTCCTGCTAGAAGGAGCTTAAAAGGAAGGTCCAGTCCTGCACTGGATCATTTGCAATCCCAGTTCAGGGTGCTTTTAAACTTCTACTGTATTTCAACTGTTTCACTTGGATTAAGACTGCAGATAAATGAAAGACACAAATGTTTTCTAGAATAACTGTAAAACTAGGCTGCAGATCAAGCCTGCCATGTCCCTTTCACCATTTGAAGATGACCAGTTACCTTTTGGTGAGAGTCTGGACTGATACAAAGTGATTGATTGTAGCTTTCCCAGCTCTTAGATTCTGCATTGAGCTGGGAAGGGGATTCTTTCGTGTTTGAGAAGAGCTCATTTCTGCATCTGCTCAAAGGTGTGTTTGTAGCTAATTGCAACAGTGCAGTGGTTTTGAGAGATAAATTAGAATAACGAGTAAATGTGAATTATGGTGATGGTGCCATTACTGATCCCTGAGCCTGTACCTGTCTGTTGGAGCCACAGTCACTTGGGGTGGGATTTTCTTCTCTGAGTTGAGCGTTTGAAGCCTGAAATATAAAAATTGAAGCCTTAAGTATGTTATGACTGCTCTGCAATAGATTTTGTCTTTAGGAATTAAAAACAAATGTTTCTTCCCCCCTCACAGTATCAGTCATTCCCACAAGGCCGAAATGGATTTAAAGTTGGAATGAAATTGGAAGGGGTGGATCCTGAACACCCCTCTCGCTTCTGTGTTCTCACAGTTGCTGAGGTAGTTGCTTTTCTTGTTTTTGATTCCAAAAGTCCCATGTACATCTATAATTTTTTTTCAATAAAAACTAGAAACATGAGAGTAATAGTACTTCAGTTAGTTAATTAATGGTAGGAGTTCAAGGTGACACTGAAAGAAAGGTGTTATGTAATTAAGGATCTTTGCCTGAAATCCTACTGGCATATTTTTGCATTTGTAACTAAGAATAGCAAACCTGTTAATTGCCTGTAGTGAACAGATATGAAAAAGAACAATGCCATGAGGCCCTATGGCTTAGTAAATAGAAACAAGTCAGAATGCTTTTATGCAGCTTCAGTTATGTGAAATCTGGGTTGATCTGGTATAGACATTTAAGTTCTGTGGCTGCTTTTGTACTCCAGAAATGTGTTCGTGGATAGGGCAGGGGCTCAGGGAGGTTCCACTGACCAGTTCTATTTCCAGCTCTTTGAAGTGGGGAAAGAGGGAGCATGGAAACTGGGAGAGCAAATTAGTTAAAATACAATTAGAGTTTCTGAGAAATAAATGCGATCCTAAGTTACTTTCTCTGTAAGTGCAAATATGAGGGAGTGTTTTATTAGTGATTATTTTTCTCCTTTGTGACCCTTGGTGATAATCTGAGCTTCTCTCACCGTAGGTGCAGGGGTACAGGATGCGGCTGCACTTTGATGGTTACCCAGAGTGCTACGACTTCTGGGCTAATGCTGATTCCTCAGACATCCACCCTGTGGGCTGGTGTGAAAAAACAAGCCATAAGCTGCTCCCTCCTAAAGGTATGACAAAAAATAGAGCAGTTTACAAGAAACCATAAATTCTACTAAGATATCCTGTCTCTGCATATTTCATTTTTAGTGTGATTTCATCGTGGAACTCGATCTGAGAGGCTAAAGGGTAGAGGTTTAACTAACACAGTGACTCACAAAAGAGCAAAATATCTTCTCTGTGATATTCCCAAAGACTGACATTATTAGTTACAGTAGAAACTCTGGATTGAATGTCTCTCTGTGCTTCAGAACTTGCTTCTTTTCTGTGTTCAGTTATTTCCTGCATTCAATTTCCTAGAAACATTTGAAGGTTGAGATTAATGATTGGACATTATGGTGAAAAAGAGAGAGCTGGTTTAGTTGAAATGCCCAGCCCCTGGAGATCATAGCAGGGCAGTTATCATGCAGAGTTCATATCCTTTACAGGTAATTTCCATTTCTGAAAAACCCACCAGAATGTACCAGGGCCATGTAAAACAATCTTTTTTTTCTCTTCCTAGGTTTCAAGGAGGGAGAATTTAATTGGACTACTTATCTGAAGAACTGCAAAGCTCAAGCAGCTCCAAAAAGCCTTTTTAAGACCCTCAGCAGTGTAAGTGGTGATATGGAATAGAAGGGGTTTCAATAGGTCTGGTGCTAAGTGAGTTTTGACCAGAATAAGTATGTGGTTTTAATATGCTTATGTCAGAGGTACAACCATAGTACAATCAGATGCAAACTACTTCCTGCTGTGTTTTATTTTTAAGAAGGAAAACTCGTACAATTTTTCTTTCTTTCCCCAGTCACTGACTTTCCAGAGAAAGAATTTGTATTTCCCTTCCTCCTTAATGCTGGAGGAAGAGATTTACTGAACCATTTATTAAATATATTACAGCTGTCTGTTTTACTGTGCCCCTACAGTCAAGATATTTGTGTCACTTTCATCTAGTTTAATCATTTCCAAAATAATTTGTGGATTCCAGCAGCATGCTCATGTGTGCCGTGGGATTCATTATGGAGCTGTGGATCTTGAGCATTTGTCATCCTTCCCCACTGGTGCTCTCTCAGTGGCTGTTAACCTCAGTTCCTGTGAAATCCTCCATCCCATTCCCATTCATGTTACTGGGATGACATGAAGCCCACGGGCTGGTGGATTGGAGGCTGCACATGAACAGTCACTGACTCCAGTAGGATCAGGGCCCAGCTCTGCCCTACTTTCCACTCAGTCACTTCATCTTCTTGAAGACTCTCCTAACTTTTCCACCAGTAAATGAGGATGTGCAATGCCCATTATCCTCAGCAAATCACTGCAGGGTGTCTCAGCCTGGGAGGCTGCAATGGTCAATGTACCTGGAAATGCTGGTTTTTTGAGCCACATTAGTTATTTTCAGTAATAGTCACGGCCAGGACTCACGGAAAATCATGTCTGCAAACCTCTTGATAGTCACTGTAGTGTGTTTTGGTCTGTGGGTTTTGGGGTCAAAGGAGTTTATAAGGGGGATTTCAATGGCTTGATCAAGAATGTGGCTGATTTCTCTTTCCTGGTGTCCTGTTCCTCAGCCTGTCACACCTTCTGGGTTTCGTCTGGGAATGAAACTGGAGGCAGTGGACAAGAAGAACCCGTCACTGGTTTGTGTCGCCACCATCACAGACATGGTGGAGAACCGGCTGCTGATCCATTTTGATAACTGGGATGAGAGCTACGACTACTGGTAAAAGACTCTATTTCTGATACATGTCTGAAGGTAGACTGGCTTTCTGTTAAATGCAGGCCCTAAAGTTGGGATCTTGTATCAGTTTTCAGGCATCTGAATAATTACTTGGGGTTTTCACAAAGTTGCCCGGTAGTTCCCTTCCTGTTTGGGTGCTGGGCAGGTCAGTGCAGAGCCACTGGGGGTTGCCTGAGCTGTCTGGGAAGCATTGGAAGCAAGAAAACTTGTGGTGCCTGAAGGGGCTCCAGGAGGGCTGGAGATGGTCTTTGGACAATAGACGGAGGGACAGGACAAGGGGAATGGCTTCCCACTGCCAGAGGGCAGGGTTAGATGGGATATTGGGAAGGAATTGTTCCCTGGGAGGGTGGGCAGGCTCTGGCACAGGGTGCCCAGAGCAGCTGTGGCTGCCCCTGGATCCCTGGCAGTGCCCAAGGCCAGGGTGGACAGAGCTTGGAGCCCCTGGGGACAGTGGGAGGTGTCCCTGCCATGGCAGGGGTGGAATGGGATGGGCTTTAAGGTCCCTTCCAACCCAAACCATTGCAAGATTTACTTTGTATTTCCCTTTCTTTTGGGACAGCTTGAATGCCTTGAAAATCCAGTGTTACACATTCTAACAAGGCAGTGCTTGTCTTCTACACCGTGATCACACCCACTGAAAGCATCTGCTCACCCAGCAAAGGCCTATCAGACAGCATTTGAAATCCTGCTTTTCTTTCTGCTTTCCATCTGACTGGTGCCAACTTTCCCTCTTTGATTCAGGTGTGAAACGAGCAGCCCATATATCCATCCTGTCGGCTACTGCCAAGAAACTGGAACCCCACTGACAACACCACCTGGTAGGTTGCAAGTGAGACTTACTTCCTGCCTTAGCCAAAAAACCTGCAAACTATATCTTCCACATAATTACATACTTGCAGGTTCCATGTTCGCTTCTGAACTCTTTACTGCCTGAACAATATTGTTGTTCCTGCTTTTTGCCACTGCAATTTATGTTGTTTCATAGTTCATTGAAGAAATCTGTCTCAGTTTGAAAAGACAGGTGTCTGTTAAGGAGGGCAGGAGCCTCTCTTGAAATGGAAAATGTAAACCACCCCCCTCCAAATTATTATAATTTTGAAATTAAGGGACTCTCAGGCAAAGATTTGGGAATTTTCTTTATTAGACAAAAAATAAAAATTAAAAGAAAATATAAAACTGAAAATGCAGTAATACAAACCAACCCTGCCAGAGTCAGAGCAGGCGCTGAGCCCTGTGGGTCAGGGCGGTGGCACAGTCCCATCCCATGGGGGCTCAGCTCTCCTGCAGTGCCAGCTGTGCTTCTGCTGGAGCAGGGATCCTGCACAAGGCTGGAGTTTTCCTCTGAAGCTCCAGGGCTGCTGTGGATGGGCCTGCTCTTCCTCTGGGAATGCAGGGCAGGAGAAAGCTGCTCCTCTGGGAATGCAGTGGGCAAAGGCTGCTGTGCTGTTCCAGGCTCAGATTGTATTCAGGTAGGAATGCTTGGCTCCTGCCCTGGGCGGAGCATCTCCCAGTGGGATGCTGGAATTTGCTCAGCCATGCAGGGACACTCAGTGGCCATGAACAGCAGAGATCTGCTGGAGGGAGGATTGGCTGTGGGAGAGATAAAGAAACCTGCCCAGAGAACAACAGAGAACTGCCCAGCTCTGACAGGTGGGGACAGAGCACACACCCCAGACACATCTTGAAAGCTAGGATAGGGAACAGGGTTTGGTAATTTATAATTGAATTTGAATTTAGAAGGGAGAAAGGGAGAAGGATTTCCAGCATTTCCTTCAAGGTGAGCTGGGAGAAAAAGGGATCTGTACTATGATTTCCTAGATGGAATTTCTGGAAATCACAGAATACTCTGGGTTGGAAGGACCCACAAGAATCATTATGTCCAACCCTTAAATGAATGGGCTATACAGGGATTGAACTACAGCCTTGGCACTGTTAGCACCATGCTCTAATGATTTCCTAGATGGAATTTCTGGAAATCAAAGAGTAACTGAATCCACATCTCTTTCTGCTGTACTGGAATTTGGTAAATGAAGAGAATGTTGGCAAATAAGAGAGGACAGAATGTACAGGGAAACCAGTGTTGTTTTCAGGCCTTGGAAGTGCACATTCACCTTAAAAATAGCAAACCTGAAAAAATTAAGCCTGACATTTGTCAGATTGACAGCCCTGGAGCAAGAATTCCTGTAGTTGCTCTGTTCCAGGTTCAGTGGAGCAGGAATCACTGCCCAGTCCCTCTGCATGGGGGGAATTGGCCTCGGTGTCTTCACTGTAGATGTAGAAGGGGTCATGAACATTCCCTCACAGCAGCACCACATCTGTCCCTGCTCCTGGAAGGTTCAGCAGGGCTGGACTCTGCAGTTCTCTGCTCATATCAGGATTTCTTGTGCTCCCACAACACCTGCAGCCAGTTCTGGTCTCTCTCCTGAAGGATTTAAATGCAGCATTTTGCAGACTGTGCTCTGCATTTAGTCACTGCACCCTCCTGCCAAAAGGAACCTGTCCTGGGGGTAAACATTACTGAAATAGGAAAAACGTAGAGCAGTTTCTTAAATGCAATTGCCAGGGAGACATCTCACTGTTGTTAGAGCAGCACACCCGTGGAGCCTTTTCTTTTCTCTCCAGGCTGCTGGGTTTACTCAGCCTGGGTGAGCAGGCAGCAGGAGAGGAGAAAGTTCTACAGTCTTACAGGTGCTCACACATAGAGCAGTTAATAAAACAGGAAATTAATGTAGTGATGCCATTACACATCACAGAATCCTCTGACTAGCTCACAATTGGAGTTTTCTTTAGAGAATAATAATTGATTAAGCTGTGCAGAAGTGAACTCACCAGGATTCAAGCCCAGTGTAAAACTGGGTAACTGGCAGAGCTGCTCTGGGTTTTGGAGGTGGTGGGTAGGAGCAAACAGGCCACTTTCCAGCACCATCCATTGGAAGTGCTCATTACAGTGTCACAGAGCTGCCTTTTTGCTGTCTGTAACAGTAAATGTGGGGTTTTTCTTACAAAAGTGTTTATTCGCTGTTTTTTCAGGATACAGGGATTCCAAAGCCTTCTCATGGGAGAAATACTTGGAAGAAACTAATTCCCAAGCAGCCCCAGCAAGAGCCTTTAAACTGGTATGTGAATGTCTTTGATTGCTCTTGCTCAGGTGCTGTTATCCACCCTTTTTTGCTGGAGGCTTTATTTGAGCATGGTTCACCTTGTCTGTGCGAGGAAGGTGAAACTGTAGTTTACTTGGAGTTTAAGATCATCTCAGTGCTGCTAAAACAAAAACACACAGCAAAATACAAGATTTTTTTGGTTTTTAATACTGTAGAAGGCTGGCTTGGAAAGGGTTTTTGACTAAGTATCTTCAGTGGCTCTATTAGCAGATTTAAGGGCAGAGCCTTCAGTCCAGAAGCTTCCAAAGGTATGTGGGAAGTGCCTGGCAGAGAGCACAGAGAGGAGAAAGAGTGCAGTTATCTGGTGTCCCCTCTACATGAAGTTTTAAAAACCTTTCTAAAATTCACCTTGCAGTTGTGCAAATCCGTACTTCCCTGGCTGGTGAGGCTGGAATTAAGGTAGAGAAGTTCATATCAAGGATTTACGTGTGCTGATACAGATCGTAGTCCTTCTGGGGAGGAGCCAGCTGTGCCCTCCACAGGAATAAATGTATTAACAGATGAAAGAGCATCTCTACCAAGCCCCTAAGCCCATCCTGCAGACTCAGTGTGAAGGTGCTTCTCTCAACCTTGAGATAGTGAGCTTTTGTTTCTTTCATTGCAGTTCAGTGTGTTTATCTGGAATCTCACTGTGAGCAGAAACAAACCAAAAGCCTCTAAAATGACTGTACTTTTAATTTGATTTTTTCCATTCCACGCTGCTGGCTCACCTTGCTAAACTTCGCATTATGTTTAAAAACTCTCCTTTGCCATCATGACACTTGCCTTGGTTCCTTTTTCTGAAGTGGGAGTTGCAGGTTAATACCTGCTGCCCTCCTGTGTATTTTTGTGGAAAGGTCTTTGGGACTGAGGAGGAAAAGCAATCAGGGAGGCCTCAGATAAGACAGGCAGAAATCTGGCCAGACAGATTTGATAATTGCCAGATTTCAGCAGGTGTCCACATGAGGTTGGTGCAGGCTGCAAAGTGGTGTCAGGGAGGTGGAAGAGGTTTTTGCCTCTTCAGAGAACTGTAGGGCTTTAACTGGAGTTTTCTGCAGCACATCCAAAACATCCCTGAGACTGAGGTTTCCCATAGCTGGGAAGCACCTTGGAGCCAGGGGCAGGCAGGATGAGGAGTGGAGCCTGTCAGTGGGACACAGCTGTTGCCCCAAGGGTGGACTAAGCTCTTTTGAAATCCCAATAGAGCTGGAAAATGTGAACTTAAAACTCCCAGCCCAAGTCCTCTATAAGATTTGCCGTTGTGGCTTCTTCCCTCAGATTTTCAGGGTATAAAGTGTGGTGAGAGATGTCATCTGAACATAAGAGGGCTTTGCTCAGTACAGGGAGCCTGTTCAGTACTGAGAACTCCCTTCTTTGTAGTCTTCCAAAGTGAAGTGTCTTCCCAAGGGGGATGCAGCTGCCTTGTCTGTCTTCTTTCCTGTTTTCCAGACATTTCTGCAGCCATTGTTCTGCTCCTTCAGGTATAAGGCTTTGAGAGAAGAGTAGAAAGACCAATTCTGGCCCTCATGAAACTCCAGAGTGCAAATTAGCATCTAAAATTGTGTTTCAAAAATGAGACAGAAAAGAAAAGGTATTTGATATATCAGCAGTTAATAGGACTCTTTCAAGATCAAACCTCAGGTTTTTTTTCGGCTTGGTTGGACTGAAGTGCAAATAAATGGCAAAGGTATTGATTTTTTAAAAATAATTATTATTATTTCAGCTAGCAATTACAGGAAATCGGTATATAAAAATGTGGGTTGAGAGCCAGAACAGGCATTTCTCACTGAACTAGCTTTTAACAATTTTAAAGAGCTGTCTTATGTAGTCTGGAGACATGGGTCATCAGCACAAATAGCAGGTCCTGGGTCTGGATTTCTGCCCTCTCCACCCAAAAACTCAGGAGACAGCTCCAATGTAAGCATTGTTATTTCACCCATCCTCTTGGGCTGGCAATTCCAAAACATTCATAAGCTATTGCCAAAAGGGCAGTAACCCTTCAGCAAGGCTTAAGCAAAGAGTCTGGCTCCTCTTCTGGGCAGGATTTGGACCTTGAGCACTCAGCTCCTTCCTCAGGGAGGACAGACAAGGTTGGCTGGTTTAATAAGATGTTCTTGAAAATAAAAGCAGTTTAGATTGTCTGTTTTGTGGTGTGTCCAGTGTCTGACAGCCCATTGATAGATGTCTGTGTCCAGGTGAAATGGCCAAAGAGGAACTTCAGGTGTGGAGTTAAACCCCTTAGCTCAAGAGTGCATCTCCTTCCTGCCCCCAGCCACTGGCAATAACAAGGGTAAGGAAGACTGGGAGGGAAGAGTGATTTTAATAATTTCATTAACCTAGTCATGTTCAAATAGACAATTTATAATTTCTTGCTAAAACCCTCACCTCTGTGTGCAGAAGTGAAGAGGGACATGTTTTGAATGACCATCATAACCCCCTGCTGAGGAGGTCAGAGGAGGAATTTGCAGTCAGATAAATGGAAAAATTGGTAAAAACTGTTGCTTAGAGGTTACATAGTGTACTGCAAAGGGCACACATCAGGTCAAAGGACATTCTGGAGTTTCCCCAAAATCTTCAGGGTTTGAGGAAAAGGGTGAGTGAACCCTCTGCAGGGGAGGCTCTGGGGCCAGAGCTGCTGTGAGCCCCAGCACAGCAGCTCGCAGCAGTTGCTCATGAGCAGCACAGGTGTTGTCATAAGGAGTAATCTGTGTAATGAGGGTAACTCTGATAGCCAGGAGCTGTAGCTGATGCCAGGGAGGATGTAGGGTAGTGAAGAGAGGCTTCACCCAATGGCGTGTTCAGATGTGAAAAGTGGGGAACTGGCCACTGTCCTTGCTGGTGTGACATCACACAATAGTCAAGTTGGAAGAGAGGCTGGAGATCATTCCAACCCCCTGCCACGGCAGAGTCACCTGGAACAGGTGACACAGGTGGGTTTGGAATTCTGCATCCAGGTGGGTTTGGAATGTCACCAGAGACGGAGACTCCACGCCCTCCCTGGCCAGCTGTTCCAGTGCTCTGCTACCCTCCATGGAAAGTTCTTCCTCGTGTTGAGGTTTTAGTGTTTTATTCCAGGGCCATTGCTCCTTTTCCTGTCACTGGGCCCTCCTGGAGAGTTTGGCATCATCCTCTGACACTTGCCCTGGAGATATTCATATGGACTGTTGGGATCTCTCCCCTCTCAGTCTCCTTTTCTAGAGAAGACCTTGTCCCTGCCATGTGGGAGGTGTTCTTTCAGGCTGTGGAGCCACTTGTGATGGTCCCTGGCCTTTGGTCTGTGAGGGAAGGGTCTTTGTTCTGGCTGGAACAGCTTCTTTGTGCTGAGCCACCTTAGGCTGCCTCTCCAGCAGTTTGGGGCTGCTGACAAACACTCAACTAAGTCCTCTTGGAAACAGTGATTTTAACCTCTTGGAAACTCTGATTTTAGCCTCTGAACAGTCTGCCATGTGAGATAACCCAGAGCTCCAAAGGCAGCTAGGGATGGATGGAAACTGAAGCACATTTCATTCAGAGCAGGTGCCAGCTCTGAACTCCAAGGCTTTTTAGCATTCTGCCTACAATCCTCTCTTCCAGCGTCCTCCTCACGGATTCCAGGTTAATATGAAGTTAGAGGCTGTGGACAGACGAAATCCCATCTTGATAAGAGTGGCAACAATCATTGACAAAGACAACCATCGCATTAAGGTATGACCTTGCTGCCAAGTGCAGAGCCTGTGCTGAGAGCCTTGGGATGGGCAGTGCTGGGAAAACAACGCTTGGGAACAAGGAACAGCAAACAACAGCCTGGCAGCTGCTGTGGCATCCAGGCCTGCCCAGCTGGAAATGGTTCCTGTTGCTTTGTTTTGCTGAAATCTGATGGAATTGGTGTGGTGTAAGTTACTGTTCTAAAGTAACTGTTTTGAACTAACAAAAACATAACACCTGACAGTGTGATGTCCCATGTCTTGGCATATTCCCTGTGATCTCTGTGACTGATGGCAGCAGGAGCGTTCTGCTGGAGAAGCTGCCTGACTGTGTTTTTTTCCTACCAGGAAAAGAAAACCCAATGCAATTTAAACCCTGGTACATGTGGGAAGCAGCACCATTCTCCAGTGCAAATTTGTCACATAAATGCATTTTAACCTAGTCTTTTCATGCAAATATATTGCCCAAACAATCTGTTGTGCTTTGGCTTCTGAGAAGCTAAGTATGAGCCAGCTAAAGTGGAGGCTGCACTGATGGAGACTCCATGGCCACGGATCTCCTTCCCAAAGGGTGATTACATGGGCAGGAGTGGAGTTCACTCCCCCTTAGCTGGTTAATTCTGAGTCTCATTGCTGTGAACAAAAGCCAAGCTTTGCCAGTCCATAATGGCATGTTGCTCAGTTCATACATTGAAACTTTCCTGCATGAACAACCCAGTAGTCTTTAAACTCCAGTGATCCTCAGTCTCTGTTAACCTGACCTGGATCTGAGCTACTGCCAGTCTCTTCAGCCAGCAGAAAATTGCAGCTTGTTCACTGCAAAACTCACCAGAATTGTTGGCTTTTATGGGCTTTGGGATCCACAGAAAACAAAACAAATAAGCATTGTGTGTGCATAGCTTTGGACTTCACATGTTAGAGCATCCCACGGGCTGTGCGGTGACAGACTGTGTCACCAGAACCTGGTTATTCTGTGAAACACAGATGCAGGAAAACAAAGAGTTAACTGAGCACAGAGGTGATTTTGCCTGACTGAAAAATTGATCTGATAGAATTAATCAGCCCCAAGCTGAGCAAAGTGAAACAAAAGGGGAAGTTAACATAAGAACTGAGTCATGCCCTGAACTGTGTCTTTCTCTGACACTTCTGCTTCTTTCAGATACATTTTGATGGCTGGGACCATCACTACGATTTCTGGGTGGATGCAGACAGCCCTGACATCCATCCTGTAGGCTGGTGTGACAAAACTGGACACGCTCTGCAGGTCCCTCTAGGTAAATAGAGCACATGCTGTTGTTATGCTGGATAATTTCCTAAGTGCAACCTGCTCCTCATGTGCAAATCTGTCCATCTTCCGTTTTTCACTACTCTCAGGTGCTGAAGATCCAGAGGGAGCAGTGGGACAGACGTGTCCTACTCCGGGCTGCCAGGGGATCGGGCACGTGCGGGGCCCCCGATACGGAACACATTACACGTATGTGGATGAGTGCTGTTAATGGCAATAACAACAGCTGCAACAACAACAACAATTATAATAATGATACAGCACCAAGCAACTGCAGCGCACTGAAATGATCTCAGGGTAGTTACTCTGGAGATAGCTATAACTGCAATCACAGCTCCCTCTTGTGTCTAAGCAGGCTGTTTGATCATAAATTTTGTTTATACCACTATAGTCATGATAGCTGCAATGCAAACAGATTCATTCACTCCAGTTTCTACATTCCAGCAGTACTGAAGGAGTTATATTTGTGAAATGATATACCCAAGAACAACATACAAGGAGACAGTTAAAGAGGAGAGGGCATGGGTAGGATGTTAAAGTGTAAGTGAGGAGAGGTTGCTCATGTTTTGTGCTCTGCCTTTTGATTTCTTGTGTGCTCCTGAAAGAGGAAGCTTTTTCTCAAGTAAATTATTTTAAGAGCAAGAAAACAATCTCAGGTGGGAGGTCAGAAGACCTGGTAGCTTATAATGCAGCAAAGGGCTTTGAATTTTTCAGACTGAAAGTTGCAGAACTCTGTTGATTCATGAAATGTTGTTCTGATAAGCAAGTTAGAGAGGATGAGCTCTTCTTGTCCTCTGCGATGACTCTTCAACAACATGACTTTGGGTTTTAATTCTGCCATATAGTCCCCTGCTTTCTCACACTTAGAGCTGGATAATGGCACCTCCTGAGTGTTTGTGGCCTCATTTTTTCTGGGTTTGTGATGGGTTTCTCTTCCTGAGGTAGGGAAGACTGTATGACTGTAAAGCTTTCATTGTCTTTTCTCTTTTTGTTTCTCCATCACAGCTTGGTTGGCTGTCCATACTCTGATGTGAACCTCAGCAGAGAAAACCTCTTACAGGACCGGCTGAGTGGGGAGAGACCTTCCCCTGGGAACATCATGCAGAAAGCCAGGAGGCTGGAGACCCCTGGCCCATTGCTGGGAGCAGGGGAGTCTTCTCAGGGTGACTCTTCACAATCCAGGTGAGCTGGATTTTACTCTTGGCCAGGTACTAGGGAGCAAAACCATTTACAAGGATGAAAAACACTGGAATTGGCAGCAACACAGCGGAGCACTGAGTTAATCTGTCTGTAATATTGACGTGTGCCCCAGTCACTCTAAACACAGAGCAGTGCACTTCTATACCCTCATATGCCTTAATAAGTTTCTTGATTCTTTAATCCTGGTGCTCTGGTCATATTCCAACAAAAGAAATTGCATTCTGTTTCCATAAGTTTTTCTTTGCTGTTTCAGTTTGAAATATGTTCTTGTCCTTTGTTTCCTGTCCTAAAACTGTCAAGCCAAGGCTATTTTGCACTATTAAACAGTACCTGTCATCCATCCTGGGTCGGCTGAGCACTGGGTGTGTATCACTTAGCAGCAAACAAGCTGAGCACTCTCAGATACTTTGTTTTCTCACAAGAAAATCTTGCAAATGAGCAGCATTGGTGGAAACTGTGCCTTGGTTCTTGGAGTGCAGGAGTCAGTTAAACCTGTCATGGGACAGACCGGGATGTGAAGGATTTTTAAGATCATTTTTAGTCTTCACAAATCCAGTCTCACTAGGGCAAACTCCGGCAATACTCTGATTTTTTGTTGTATGTGAAGGCTTCTCTATATTTTAAAGTTCATCTGTTTGTTTAGATTTATAACGTTTTCAAGATCTATTTGTCCAGAAAAAAGGAATGAATGCTTCTTTCTCCTCCCTAGCCTTCACGGCCAAATTGCTTCCTCCCATGCTACAACTGTGCAGGCATCTTCATTCCCTAATTTCCACACCAAAATTGATTGCATTTCAATGGCACTTTTACCATAAAGCTCTTGGGAGATTTTGAATTCTCACAGAATAAGTGGCATTTTAGAATTGTAATATATTTCTTTTCTTCCAAGTATTTCATTTCCTGGTAGTGGGAGGTCCGAATTCAGCCTGTAAGTCTGGTATCATCCTGCTGCTTGCCCTCCCTTGGCCAACTCTGTAGCTCAGTTTATGCATCAAACTTAGTAATGGAAACTCTTAAATGTTATCCAGAGGTATCAAGTTTCAGAAATCTTAAATCTCTTGCTTTCACCATAACATAGTGGTTTCCTGTAGCTGCTGGGATCAGAGCCTGAGTCTACAGAGGCTGATTTATTTCACTTAAACTCTCTCAATCCTTGCAGAAGAGGAACAAGGCACTTTGTATTCATGGAGGGAAGAGGAGAGTTCTGCCACAAGGTGGTGGTTGTTGCTCTCACTTGCCAGGAGCAGCCAGCTTTGCTCTCCTGTGGGAAAAGGGAACAGAGGATGTCAGCTCAGCTACTGTCATTTATCTGTCTTTCCAGAAAATCTGCACCAGACAGTGAAAAGTGGTGTCAAAGCAGCATCCACACTCCATCAGAGCAATCGGAAGACAGTCGGGAGAGAGGCTGGGGAGAGGAGGATTCCTCTGCAGACATCAAAACCACACCAAAAACGTAAACAAGACTTTTGTTTCATGCATTAACAGTTGTGTTTCTTGATGCTGCTGCTGTATCTGAAATGAAGATGTAAATAACAAACAGCCCAATTTGATTGAAGTTTGGCAGCAGAGAACTTTAGAATGACATGGTAAATCTCTTCCCTTCCTCCTGTTGTTTTGCTCTTTTCTGCAGTAAACTCAGATCTGAGTTCTGGCCATGAATTTAATAGAACAGCCCTTAGCTCTGAGAGATGTCAGGGATGGAGCTATTGCTTGTTTTAAGAGGAAAAAGTTTTTAGTTTCTATAAATCTCATGTATCTTTGTATGGAGAAGAAATTACATTCATTTCTGTATCTTCTGAAATGTTTTGTAATTGTTGCTTTCAGGCTCGGGTGCTCACATGCCTATATCAAGTTTCAGCTAGTGAAACAGGAAAGCAATGGGAAAGGTTGGTTAAGTTTTATTCCTTCTTTCTGTGTGTGTGCCTATCTCTGCAATATCCCCACAGTCACGAGGATCATTGAGAAATCACAGATTTTTTTGTCTTTGATTCCACAGTCAAGAGAAAGCACATGCTGGAGATGTTGGCAATTCCTTTAAAATGAGGAGAAAGGATAAAATTACTTAAAAGTGAAAGGTTCAATACTTTATAGAGTGGAGCTTTGTATTTATTAACTGAGAAGACAAGTGTGCACTGGTTTTTGTGCCACTGCAAACTCCTCTGTAGTGACAAGGGGTTCCTAAACAGTCTGTGACCTGTGTCAGGCTGTGACAGAGTCAGCACAGGGCTCAAGGGAGACTTGCTCAAAACCTGGCAGATAGTTTAGGTTCCATCAACCCCCTTTTTTAGACCCTCATAGTTATTCAGAAACATATTCTGAATCATTGGAGGACTTTTTAAAGGTTCTCTGAAGGATTAAAAGGAAAACGAAAAGCTAAATGGAAAAACAGAATGTTTTTTTTCCTGGTACATGACAGGTTAAGTTTTCAGAGCAGCTTTCTGCTATCACTTTAGAAAACCATATGCTTAACTTTCAGATTTACTATAAAAAGCCATTTCGGAGAACAGAGCTGACCAGGCTTTTAGGAGGATTTAAGATGGTAATAAGTCTCCAATCAAAAATAGCTAAGCAGGCACAAACTGGGACAGGTGCCTGGATATTGGGGGTTTTTTTGGTTTGGTTTTTTTATAATACTCATTTTTACCTAGTTCTGCAGTCAGAACTGAGGGGTCTGCTAGCTCCAAGCTGCAGTTGCAGCTGGCAGGGAAAGCTGCCCACTTTCACTTGACATTCACCTTCCAGGGAGTGGTGGAAATCAGGGGAGGGAAATGCAATCATCCAATGACCTGTAATTTCACAATTACCCAGAGCTTTCCTCCCAGCTGTGTTTAAACTATGAGATCACTGCTTCTTCGTCAGAGGGAAAGTCACTTGTCTAGGTCATGGTTTGGGTGCTTAGTCCAAGGATTTGTGCTTAGTGGAGAAAAGGAATTGGTCTGAGATGGAAGCAATGCCCACCCAGCAGGAATGTGGCAGTGGGGGAGACCTTAGGCACGAGTGGGACCTCCTGGAGCAGGAGGTGGGGACAAGACCAGGTGCTGTCTGTCCCCACCACTGCAGCAGTGCAGCAGGGAAGGAGGGGGTGACAGCCCTCTCAGGAGCAGGTCCTGTGCCCTCTCTCCACCAAGAGCTCCTGAACTGAGCAGTTCTTACTCAGGCTTTATTTAACCTCCCTTGGTTTCATTATTAGAAATTTAATGTTATTTGGTGCTGTCTTATGACCATTGGGGATGTGGAGATGAGCTGAGCGGGCCCTGGGGCCAGGGGAGTGACTGTTCACTAGGAGAGGCTTTACCTCCAGAGCTGCTTCCCCTTCAGCTCGGGGGGCAGCTGGCAAACCCTGGGAATCTGCTTTTTCTTTGTATTTCTGCCATTTTCCTTTGTGCATTCCACATAGTGACTGCTTACCCCCTGCATCTTACACCCAAGCCCAGTGAGAGCCACTCAGCAGAGCAGCAGGGGCAGCAGAGCAGCAGTGCAGCCGGGGCAGCAATGCAGTAGGGGCAACAGTGCAGCAGGGGCAGCAATGCAGTAGGAGCAGCAGGGGCAGCAGAGCAGCAGAGGCAGCAGTGCAGCAGGGGCAGAGCAGCGGCTGCTCCAGGCACACGGAGCCTTCCCGAGGGCTGGGATACAGTGGGAATGCTCGGGGATCCCACGGGATGGCGCTGGGCAGCCTGCGGTGGGGGGGGTCGGGGGTAGCCCCCCGTGCTGCTGTAAATCAGAGGAGTGCTTCCCAGCCTGCTCCCATCCTCTGCCTGCCTTCCTGTTGTATAACCAGCACATCCCTGCAGGACCGTGACTCTGCACTGCTCCAGTGATCTCATTAGGGAGGGGTGATTCCTTCCTCCTTTTTTTGCCTTGGTTTTCAGAGCTTCACTTGACACATGAGGAGGGTCAGAGGCAGCAGGGGCAGCAGAGCAGCAGGGGCAGCAGAGGCAGCAGAGGCAGCAGAGCAGCAGGGGCAGAGCAGCGGCTGCTCCAGGCACACGGAGCCTTCCCGAGGGCTGGGATACAGTGGGAATGCTCGGGGATCCCACGGGATGGCGCTGGGCAGCCTGCGGTGGCGGGGGTCGGGGGTAGCCCCCCGTGCTGCTGTAAATCAGAGGAGTGCTTCCCAGCCTGCTCCCATCCTCTGCCTGCCTTCCTGTTGTATAACCAGCACATCCCTGCAGGACCGTGACTCTGCACTGCTCCAGTGATCTCATTAGGGAGGGGTGATTCCTTCCTCCTTTTTTTGCCTTGGTTTTCAGAGCTTCACTTGACACATGAGGAGGGAGTTGATGTCTGGAGGTACCTTGAGCACTCCTGGCCTGGGAGTTTCCTGGGGAGTGAGCGCAGGCCATGCTGGCAGCACAGAGCTCTGGCTACAGCTGGGGCTGGAACGGTGCCATCAGTTCCCAGCTGAGGATGCTGTTACCAGAATTCCTCCACCTTGTCAATAAAACGCTGCAAACATCTTCTCTGTTAGCAGCATGACATCATTTTCCAGGGAAGAAGCTAACGATAAAGCCTCCAGCCTGGCAATCTTGTCCTTTTTTCCCCCTTTCTCCTGCTTGGGAGGGGGAGAACGTCCTGAGAGCTCCGTGTGCCACACAGTAGCCGTGCCTGGCTCTGCTCACCCTGCCTTGCTTTCCCCTCCAGGCTGTGACCCTTCTTCCTGCGTTGTTGTAGTTGCTCCTACTTGAAGCCTGGCTCTGACTTGTCTTGTTTCCTTTTTCAGGCACTGATTTGGATCTCCAGCAGGCCCTCCACCAGTCTATCTTCATGCCTTCCCTGGCCTCTAACCCGACCCACCGCCTCCATCTCTTCTGGGAGCAGCACTGCAGGCTCTTGCCGGAGGTCTCGGGCCTGACAGCCAAACAAGTTGCCAAATGGACTGTGGAGGAGGTGAGTTACCTGTTCCCTGTTCTGCTCTCCCGGGATGCAGGAATGCCAGAGCACTCTTCCTCTGGAGTGCTTACTGGGAGACATCTTTATTTCTTCCCTCTCCTAGGCAGTGCTCTTCTGTTTGCTGTGCGTGTGCCACAGCTGACTAAGCTGGAAGTTAGACCCAAGACCCTTTATCAGGGAGGGGAAGGACTCCTGTTAACCCTCTGGTATCCACAGCTTATTGCCCTTAACAGGATTCCCTCCCTCCCTCTGTTTATTTACCCCTTGATTTCTCAGTCCTCAGGCCTGAAGCATTATTCTGACAGCAGATTCCCGTTCTCTGATCTCCCTCCCCCTCTCCTGTGACTTTCCTGCTGATTCACTTTTACAGTGCAGAGAATTCCAAACTGCACTGTGCATGCCCACTCCTGCTGCATCTCCCTGCCTGATTCCCTAAGAACAAAACTGCCCACAGCCTGACCTGATTTCTGGCAGAGGTAGCTGTGCAGCTGGAGATGTGTCTCTGCAGCTCTTGAGATGTCTCCTGTAATTAGGTGGTGTGTGAAAAAGCCAGAGTGTTCTGTGTGCTGAGTAGTTGGTTTTTGCCTCGATGCCTTGGGCATAAATAATATTTCTCTCTGCGCTTGGGAAGTGGTTACAATTTGGATCCTGGTGCTTAATTGCAGGGCATTTATTTCTGGAGAAATGTGCTGTAGAGTTGTGCTTGCAAGGATGCAGGGAATCTACAAAGCAGGAAAAAGGTACTGCTGCTCATGATGCAGAGAGGATCTTCAGAAACTTTTAGAAAGTGCATTTTCCCTAAGTGCCTCTTAACATTGGATAAATCCTATCTTGACTTTGTTCTTCATGCTGGAGGAGTGGTAGGAGCCTGGTGGGATTTGCAGTGATGTGGGAGATGGGAACCACAGCAGTTTGACAAGGGACAGAGCAATTAGTGCTGATGTTTTAAAACCTGGTCGTTTTTTGTGTTGAGTTGTTGTGGTTTGGTAGTAGTGTTGGGTTTTGGTTGTGTTTTTTTGTTCTTTTTAATAAAAATGTCTTAGAATTAAATTCATACCAAGGAGGGAAAAAAAATCTCTGAAAGATTTACTGTTCCCGTCCTTTTGAGAAAGCTTCCAATGATTTGTCCAAAAGACCTTTTATCAAATCAATAAAGTCAGAAGCAGATAATCCTCTGACATGATAATCAAAATCTCTTTCTTTTGGATAAAAGGGGAGGCTGCTTCCTGAGAGTACAGTGTCAGGATCCAAGCCAAATAAAATTTGTCCTTTGCAGTTGACCTTTAAAGCAACTGTTGGGTAGATTTAACTGGGATATTAGTTTGATAACAGATGTGTGTGAGCAGGGACCACAGACATGGATGCAGGGCACTGGATATAGTGATTCAAACCCAGAATAAACTGAACTCTGCTGCACCCTGAAACAACTGGGGAACTTTTGGTTGCTGGTAGCAGTGTGAATGGCACATTAAAAAGCTCAGTTGCAGCACCACAATGTACTGGCTGAAGTCATTACAGGTTTTATCTTGAATTTCAGTAAACTGCGTCTGGTTTTGAAAATTATCTTCATCACAAATTCCCAGAGGAATCAATTTGGGTTCTCTCTGAGCACTTGCAGGATCAGCATGTGCAGTGCAATGCAGCCACAGATCTGGGAGCTGAAAGCAGCAGGACTTGCTGTGTTTTAGGGAGTCCAAAGTACATTTGGTCTGTCGGCATTTGGGCTCCCAACATCTTCCTGCAGGGCAAACATTTGCTGTTGGGTTGTGCTTTGAGCTCTGCTGCACAAAGGAGTCCTGAAGGAGTCCAAAGGAGTCCTGTGCTGATCTGAAACAGGAGTGATGGGGGTGTAAAATTCTCCTTTGGTTTCAGGCTGAAGAACTGTTTTTATTTTATAAAACCCACATTAAGGAAAAAAAACGTTGCTTTAATTTTCTGCTGGTTGAGAGCAGCTGAAATGGCAGAGCAGCAGCAGTAGCAGTATTTAGGGGCCCTCAAGCTAAGAAAGTCGTGGTAACACTGAGCACTTATAAGAGAAGTTACTTTAATGCAGCTTTGGTATTTATTGAAAGCTTCCTTTCATGTTTTCAGAGCACATACTATTGACTCATAGAGGAACATTAAGATGTGCTAGAATTGTATTGTTCATTAGTTAATCCTGCTTCAAATGCCAGTGCCTGGGCAGAGGGGACTGTCCTTTTGCCAAGTGTAAGTAGATTTCTAAATCACAGTTCCTCTGTGAGCTCAGAGGGGACCGGTCCTGCATTAGCTGTTGAAGGGGTGTGGTGTGGGGCTGCCTCATCACCACGGGCCATTAATCCTGTGCTGATCTCAGTGTGTCTGCCACACATCAGCACCTTCCAGAAGGGTTGTGTCCAGTTTCCAGTGTGTTCTCAGGATTGCACAAAGCTCTTTTTCAAGCCCTTTCCCTTCACCAGTGTGCTTTGGGAGTGTAAGAGTTTCCAGCAGGCAGTTCTGAGCCATGGGATGGTTACAGCAGGAAGGGCCAGCAGACTTTTACCTCCTTATAGAAAAGCTCTGATCCCACTGAGATGTTCCCAACCTGTCCAACACCTGTCCCACCCTCACTTTGAGCCCTCCCAGTCAACCTTTCTCAGGGTTCAAGGCTTCTGTGCCAGTATTGTGGGGTTGTGTAGGATTCTTGTGGTGTTTGTTCTTGTGCTCCCAAGCCTCCCTCGTGTCTCAACTGCCCTATCTTGGTTTGGGAGCCCTCCAACCCAGCAGTGACAGCCAGGCAGGTCCCTGTGTCTCAGTGGGGTCTGTCTCGTGTCCAGGGGACCTTCTCTCCCATTTTCTCCTCTTGCAGCTTTCTTCCCTCTCTGTTCTCCATTCCTGGTAAACCCCAGGGCTGCTGTTTGCTCAGGAGGCCTCTCCAGTGATGCAGGGAGCTTGCAGTGTCCCTACAAAGGACTTTGGGGCAGATCAAAGGTCTGTCACTCCGTGTCAGTGACAGTAGCCAGCAGCAGTTGTGCAGGGAAGGATACAGGAACAAGCCAAGCCCAGGTCATTCCCTGGAGATGTCTGCCAACTTCTCAGTGCCACAGACAGTGAAGAGCACTCAGCTCTTGCCTCAAGGGTCCAACTGTCTTGTAAATTCTCAAAGAAGGCAGACCTGGCAGAACGATTTTCATTTGTGTTTTAATTATTAGCAGACAGGGGGACTCAGAAAGAAAGCAGTATTTTGTTATTGGTTATTAATAGGAGTTTACACTTCTACAGAAGAAAATTTGGAGTCACCATCTATCAGAGACGTTTTAGGGGTTGCCTTTAAGATGGAGCGGAAGAGGAGGACAAAGGAGAGGGATGCTCTGCTTTCAGGTTACATAACAGAAACCACAGGAGTCAGAGCTGCTCCTGCCAGGGCAGAGCAAACCTGGAGGGCACTGAGAGCCCCCTTCCTGCCTGGCTGGAACTGGGGGGGAGGGAATGACTCCAAGTCTAGGGGTGGGATGGTCTGGAGGTACAGAGATGTGATTTAGGGGAGACTGACAGTTTTGAGTTGAAGGGAGCCTGAATTTGACAGTGACCCCTCCCAACTGCTTGTTTGTGTACAGGGAAGAAATGTCACATCTGCAACAACTCACATGGTTATGCCTCATGAAGCAGAGCTGCTCCTGCAAGGGAGAACCCAATTAACAGGAGATGTTTGTTCTGATTATGCCTCAATATACAAATCTCCTGTGAACCAGTGAAGCTGCAGCTGGAGAAGACAATGCACATTAAGTCATCCTCGACTGCACACAGGGCTACTCCTCACACTCCTTGGTGTTATATAATGTAACCCCAGGGCTGCTTGCATGACTCCAGGGAGATTATTCCAAATGTTAACAGATTCCGTGCCTAGAAAGGTTTTCCCTAATGTGAAATGTAAAATTAATCCGCTTGGTTCCCTGGATCCTGTGCACCCAGCACAGATTAAATGAAACCAAAACTCCTTTCCTTCTCTTCTTCGTTCCTTCTTCCTTTCCAGCTCTTCTGCCTTTGCAATTTGGTAAACCAGCAGTGCTCGTTCATTTGGTTTATCTTGTCTCTTACAGGCATGCCATCTTGGGAAACTGTCTAAATCCTTTTTTCATGTTAGTTTTACTTTCCAACAGTACTGTAGAGAAAGTGAAGTTGTGAGTGAATTTAAAGTAGTCTAAGCCATATATAGCTTTTTATCTGGAAAAGTAATGTTGATTCTGTGAGAACCTTCTAGAGGAGTGGAGAAACTGGATTCTTACAAGGAGAGAAATGGTCAAATGGCAATAGGGGCAGTTATTGGTGGTAGCCAAAATATGCAGAGGAGTTGCAGCAACAACCCAGCAATGTTTTCCATCTATATCTTTCATTAATGTGAGAGGTCTTAATATTAAAGTTTTAAAAATTCTCATAAGTTTTAAAAATTTCTCATACAGAAATAAAAGGGTTTTTCTTCATGGTCTCTCATTTTAATTGTCTGTGTTTCCTTTCTCTTACGTGCAATTGCAGGTGGTGAACTTTATCCAGCGTTTACCTGGCTGCAAAGAGCAAGCATCTGTGTTCAGGGAAGAGGTAAGTGGGGTGTGCCCAGACCCTGTGCTGCAGATCCCTGGAATTACAGCAGAGAACTCAGACCTGTTTCATTGCAGAGCAGTGGCATTTAGGAGGCAGCCTCAGCATGGAGCTGAATTCCACCATGGCTAATTGCATCCTGCTGCTTTAAATTTCCCCTGCAGTTCCAATCATGGAGCTTATGCTTAACATCCTGTCTTGGACCGTTGTGCCATGGGTTTGGCACTGCTCTAAAGATGCCCTGTTGGAATGGTTAGTGAGGATCTCATCTGCTGCCTCTAACGAGGATATGTGCCTGTTTCTCCTGGGGAGCCTGGCAGGCACAGGGATTCCCAGGAATTGTTGGCTTCCTCTGTGGGCTGGGGTGAGAGCAGGGGGGAAACGTTTCGTTCGACAAGCCGAGGTCAGAGGGAAGTCAGAGCATGTGCTGTGTGAGTTGTGTCCTGTCAGTACTGCCATGGGCTGGGCTCTGGTCCCATTCCTGGTGTGTTCACCATGGCCTCTGGGAGACCTCCGTGGGCACAGGGTGTGGCTGTCCTGGTTTTTGGCACAGCTCTGTAGGTGGATCACAGACAGGGATCTCTTGGGTGTTTCAGCTTCCACTTACATTACAGGTATCACTTGGAAGTTCTTTAGGAGCCTCCAATGAATTTGCACAGATGCACCTTGTCCTGGACTCATCATGGTGTGGGCAGCTTGTGGGGGGTGGAATTCCTCCCCTCTGTCCTGCTCAGGTGATTCCCCACCTGCAGAGTCCCTTCAGCTGTGGGCACAAGCATCAGAAGCTTGTGGAGCTCCTGGAGTGAATCCAGAGGAGACCACAGAGATGCTCCAGGGGCTGGAGCCCTTCTGCTCTGGAGCCAGGCTGGGAGAGCTGGAGGTGCTCCCCTGGAGAAGAGAATGCTCCAGGGAGAGCTCAGAGCCCTTGCAGGGCCTAAAGGGCTCCAGGGGAGCTGGAGAGGATCTTTAGATGAGGAGTGACAGAACAAGGGACAATGGCCTTAACCTGAAGGAGGGTGGGCATTAGAAAGAAGTTCCTCCCTATGAGGCTCTGGCACAGGGTGCCCAGAGAAACTGTGGCTGCCCCATCCTGGAGGTGTCCAAGGCAAGGCTGGACAGGGCTTGGAGCCTCCTGGCATAGTGGAAAGTGTCCTTGCCCATGGCAGGGGATGGAACAAGATGAGCTTTAAGATTCCTTCCAACCAAAACCATCCCATGGTTCTGTGATTCTGTCCTCAGAGCTCTCCTGTGTGACTGTAAGAGCTCCAGGGAAGGGCTGGAGCTTCTCCTCCTGCATGGCAGTGAATGGAAAGGGCAGGTCTGTAATGGGTGTCTGCTCCAGAGCTGGCTCCCTTTCAGGGGGAATCAGGCTGCAGGACATTTTGTGGATTTATGTATCTGTGTTTTGTTTTCCCTTGTTTTAAAAACTGTGCAGACTCACACAAAATAGGAAACAAAAGAAACAGAGGCTTGCAAGAAGCACTGTCCACACTGTGACAATACAGTGGAATACTCGTGAACTGAATATTGTGGGAATAGTGAAATTTGTTCAAATGAACCCATCTTTCACTGTAGCTGTGTTAAAGGGATTTCTAGGGAAGGTGCAGAAGTGAGATGTACTAGCCAATCTCCTAATAAATCCAACCATTCTTCATGTATTTTATTTCTTCAGGTCCTGAACACAGTGAATACTTTCTAGTTCTGAGAGTGCCATAGCCAGTCTGTTCTAATCCTTATTTTCTGCAGCCTCAAAGTGTGGTTCCCTGTGCCTGATTTAGAGGGGCTTGTGTTGTTTTTCCAGTTTATGCTCAAACCACATTGTCGGTTTGAAATTAAAACCCTTTTAGCAGTTTGTCTTTGGCGAGAATACAGGTGTGAGTGAGAACTGAACTCCCCCACACTGTCCAGGATCAGCCTCCAAGTGCTTCATGTCCAGGACAAATAAATCCCTTGCAGGGTTCCCTTGGTGGGGGACTGGAGGGGGATAAGTTCCTGCTTACATTAGGAGAGAAAAGAACAAATTGTGCACAGAATTCTAAAACCCATCCAAATAAGATAGAACAAAGGAATGAATAATAAAGCACAGACTTGCTTCTAGGTCCAGTTCAGGGCAGGACTGTTTAAAATAAGCAAGTGTAAGGAAGTGCAGTGAAAATGAAGCATAGGAATAAATAGTGTTGGACACAAAACCATTTTGAAATGTAGGACTGTTTTCCAGCAGTTTTCTGCTCCTCTTGACTCTGTTATTTAATTTAAGCAGCACAGTCCTATTTGTTTCAAGCTATTTTTAACACATTCATTGCAGCAGTGTAGACTTGAGGCAGCTTGAAAATAAGATTCAAGGACATGGTGTGGCCATCTGTGGTCTGGGAGCGTTGCTGTCATTCCCAGTGCAGGAATTAACTTCCCAGTTACTCTCAGTAGCAGGTTAAGTAACTTGCTGAGGGTCTCTTGTGTGGTGAGAGGTGAGAAAACCAAATCTCCTGGCTCCCAGCTCTTCGCTTTAATCATGTGTTCTCTGAGTTTATTCTATGTTTCCTCTTGCATCAGGCATTGACATCCAAAAATATTCTATTTGGGAAGACTACAAAAATAGCAGAATTGTTATTCTGGCTGGGCTGACTGTCCAGTGCTGTGTGCTGCACTGGTGAGCATCAAGTGAGAGGAGGAGACACTGTCAGTCTCTGTAAATGGATTTTAATGGAATAACTTAGGGAGACACTTACTGTTTGTCTGTGTCCATTAATCTTTGGCTTCATCCCTGCAGCATTTGGGGTTTATATTAATTATATCTGTGTTGTCTCTGTGGATGTTCTTGCTCAAGTGAATTTTTAACCTTTTCCAGAAACAGCGTGTCATGATTTACTCGCTGCTACCTACAGCATCCTGTATTTTCACATGGTAGTATGTTCATCACTTACTTAATTTGCATCTAATCAAATATATGTCCTTGTTGATGGATTAGGAGACTCTGTTTTTCCAGCCATATTGCATCTTCACTATGCCTTAGTCTGTATAGCATATGGAATCATGGAATGGTTTGAGTTAGAAAGGCCCTTAAAAGCTCATCTCATTCTGCCTCTGCCATGGGCAGGACACATGGAGCTTCTCCATTTCTAGGGAAAGCACTGTGAGATGAGGTCTGTGTCCTTTGGAAAGGGGACATCATGGGGTGTAGGGCCAGAATAGGCAAGAATCCAGACTGACCAGAAGTGCAAATCCTGCCTGTGCCTTGGTGGTTAATCCCTGTCCTGTTTGTGTTCCAACCTCCAGCAGATTGATGGCGAGGCCTTCCTGCTCCTCAAGCAGAATGACATCGTTAAAATACTCAGCATCAAGCTGGGCCCTGCCCTGAAGATCTACAATGCTATCCTCATGTTCAAGTCTGCAGAAGACAACTGAGAAGAGGCCTTTGGCAGATCCAGGAGGAACTGACAGCTGATCTTCAGCTGTGAGCATTACAACACGCCGGACAGGTGGATTGGGACTCTGATGTATTTTAAGTAGAATTTAGTAAAAATGGTTTGAGGTTATAAAAATCCTGCCACAGTTTGGAATATGAGGCAGCTTCACTTCCAAGAAGAGGATATTATTATATTTTGTAATTGAATTTGGTTTTGATATATCAATCTCTTTTTGAGATCAAGAAGAAACCTCCAGTTCTAAGGGGAATCCAGGGTAGCACTGGTGGAGCTGCAGGAGCAAGAAGAAAGTTTTGAGTAAGACTGGCTTTGTGTCCAGTGATAGTGCCTGAAAGACTGAGTGATCACCAGCGAGATTAATGTGTTCTGTGTAATAAGAGAGGAAAAATATGCACTTCCAAGCAATTCCCCCGTATCCTTCACTGCTGTGACTCAGGAGCTGACCTTTTCAGGACTGATTGTTAAATTCCAGTTTTTCATACTGATCCTGGTTGTTGTGATACCCTTGGCTGCTGGGCTGCTTGTACCCTGGCAGGAAGGGAGCGTGGGCAGAGGGTTTCCATCAGGGATGACTTGCATTGGTTCTGCCAGCAAGCAAAATATCCTCATTCCTGTCACTCCCTGTCAGGTGGGCTTTGGTTAGGCAAAGATCCCATAAGGGCATCTGCTGCTGGAGACAGAGAGATGTGTTTTAGCTGTAATTCTCCCATCAGTGCTTTTGTGCAGCTCCTTCTGTGCCAGGAACACCTGGCAAAATGGCACAATCAGGAGCACTTGGGCATTGGTGTGTGTTTGTTCTTGCCCTCTCCACTGTCAGCCAAATGCTAGGAATAGGAGTTGGAAAGCCAGCAGTGGCCAGAGAGTGTGTGTAAACAGATTTCCAAGAAACAAATGGCTTTTCTTTTGAGCCATCCAAACTGATGAATGTGAAGTGCTTTGGCCTTTGTCCCTTGAGGTGGGCTCAGGTGTGTTCTGCCAGAGAGCTGGAGGGCAGAGCAGCAAGCAGAGCACACAGGGATGTGAGATTGGAGAGGAATCAGGACTTAAACAGCAAAATGAGGGAACAATTACTTCCCAAAAGAGAGCTGCTGTGTGTGGGGAAGGTGTGGAGCCTGGGGCTGTGTTCCTGCACGTGCAGCCTGTGCTCTCCTGGCTGGGAGCACGGGTGGCTCCTGCTCCAGCAGAGCCAGTTTAAGGAGCATGCCCATGGACATCCTGGGGGAGGGTTTCCACATGGGCACTTCCCAAGTTGTCCTCTCCCCATGGAAGCCCTGGCAGATGGGGTGAGTCCTGCTGGGCTCCGTGTGATGTTCCCATTGCTGTTGGCAGCACCAGCTCGTGGCTCTCTCCTTGGCCACTCTCCCTGATGGCTGTTTGGCTGTTCTAGAACCACCTCAGCTCAGGCAGCCCTTGCAGCCCCTCATCCATAGCTGCCAGGCTGAATCCTGTGTGTGGGAACCCGTGGGACACTGGGGGTGTGACCTGGAGCTGCCAAAGGCAGGTTCTGCCCTCAGCCTCTGCCAGGCTGTGTGGGTGTCTCAGGACACTGCATGGTGATGTCATCCATCCACAGGCACCTCAAACTCCCTTGGCATCTCTGCCACCAGCGTGGCTTCCCAGGAGCTGTCAGGAACAGAGTGAACACGCTGTCCATGACTGTGTGGTGACACAAGGAACACACTTGTTCCCCCTTCCTGTGTCACCCACATCCTTTGTCCAACCCTCCTGCTGCTGAGAAGGTTCTTGTGACTTGTCTGAAGCAGAAGGTTCCTTAAAATTGTAAATAGAATCCACACCCCTGAAGCAATTCAGTCCTGGAATAATATTTAGAGCAGTTTGTTTCCATGTATTTTTTATTTTTAATAAGAATTTTGGGAGTTTAAGCCTTCACAGAGAAGACACAGGTTTGGTGGGATATTTAATAGCTGAACCATTAAATATCAGCCAGGCAGCTGTAGGGGAGAAATTTATTGCAGTGTTAAGGACTAGGCAAGGGGTGAATTTAGTTTATTAAAATACATTTTTAGTATGATAACCAGGATATTCACCAAAGAGCCACATTCCTTTATCCTGCTCTGCACATCCAGTGTCAACATTAAGACTTGAATTGTAAGTGGCATGTCCTGTCCTCTGACAGAACTCACCTTCTGGGCAAAGCAAAATTGTTTCTTGACAACTGGAACAGAAGATCCAGAGCTGGGCTGTTTTATTCCTGGCTCTCCACTGACTTGCTAAGTAGTCCTGAGCCCTTCCTTGCCCCTGTTCCCCCCTCTGTGACACCCAGCCTGGTGGGGCAAGTGCAATTTTGCCTTTTTCTTGTTTCAAACAAGCAGGTCCTGCCAGATTTTCTGTTTCACCTCCTTCCTTTGGGAGCCTGATTTGGGGGACAGCAGATTGCCTCTAGCAATAAACCAAAATATAATATTAATTCTATTTCTTTTACTATATATAGGTGGAGGTTGAAGAGAATCAGTTAAACAAGCCATGAGATTCTAGTCAGTGACATTATTCAAACAGAAGAGAAATCTTTAATCCTTGGGGCCTCCGAGCCAGCTGGATCAAAGAGGAAAATGTGTACTTGGAGGTTGTTCAGTGACAGCCAGCACAGTGCTTTCAGCAGGGGGGAAGGAGGAACCTTTTAGGGATGAAAGAAGGAGGAATGTGCTTCTTGTGCCTTTTTTTTGTAATCTGATAATTGTCTTTGTAGAGCAAGCAAGAATGTGCACACATCTATTACCCACTCCTTTCCTAAATATAGCTGTATTCCAATTAAATCCAGCAACTTCACAGGACAAAAAGATTTCCAGTGTCTTCCCTGGACATATTTAAAACTCCCTGATATTTACAATATAGCAAAAAACTAAGCCATCTCATCTTTTAGCCCCATAACTTAGGAATTCATCAGCTGCTGGTGCCATGCCGCTTGTGTCAGGGCATGCTGCTTCCCGCTGTGTCTCAGTGAGTTGTTCCTGCTGCCAGTCCAAACTCTGCTCTGCCCGTTCCCAGTCCTGCTCCAGGCCTGTGGCATGGCCAGGGCTCTGCTGAGGCCTTTGGTTATCTGATGCCTGCCTTGTGTAATTTGAAATGTGCACTTTGAAGCAAAAATCCAAATTGCTCTGTGGGGAGCAAAACTGAAGCTGATTAATGTCACCTGGGGTTGGGAGGATTTTGAGTCTGCTGAATGTCAGCAAGAGCCAGTTGTTGGCCCAACTGAACCCACGAGTCTCTTAGCAATACAGGTATATTCCTTAGAACCAACTCGGAGCTGTGACAAGTTCCCATGGGCCAGCAGAGCAGTTAGGAATTTCCAGTTCCCAAAATCTTATTCCTGGCTGTGTTTTTGTTCCCTTTTTGTTGTTTTTGAAATTCAAAGCAATCAGAATTTTTCTCTTTTCCTCTTCGCCTCGGCTGGAAGTCCTGTTAAATTTTTTCTGTGCCATCACCAACAATCATCCCCGTAATCCAGTAGCAGCAAATTTCAGCTCTGGGTAATGAATCACATTAAAGTTGGACAGGAGCATTTGGCATCGCTGACAGCAAAACTCTGCAGCTGAAGGAAAAGCCCAACACTTGGCCCAGGGATAAGCCAGTTCAGCTGTACAAGATTTCCTGCGTGCTACTTTTATGCCCTACTTAGGGATTTATACCACAGAGAGCTTTAAAGTTTTTGACATCCCCCCCATGATGTGATAAGCCAGCTTATTTTGGAGATTCCTTTTACTTGAACTGGAAGCACGTGCAGGGGAAGAGAGCAGGGCCTCGGCTCAGCCTCAGAAATGTCTGCCTGTTTTAAACCAAATACTTGAGCTTTTCCACACTAGCCATGACCTTGCACTCCACTGATGCTTTCCTCTGGAAATGTGAATAAAATTAATATAAGTTCACAGCTGGTTTGTTTCTTCTGTGTGTGGGGCTGAGCTCAGCAGTGCTCAGGGAGACACGGGGCTGGCTGCCCTGGAGGGCTGGCACCAGGAGGGCTCGGCCATCACATCGTTGTCCTTCCCTTACGCGGCAGTCACAACACAAGGCAGCATCTTCATTTTTATCTCTCTTGTCTGTATCTCTTATCTCTCTACTTGAGCTCTCCTTGATGTGTTCACAGGACAGCACTGGCTGCTGCAGCTGTGCCTGAGTTTCCAATTCCTCACTCTCCTCTGCTGCTTCCAGATTTTGGTCATAGAATCCTGGGATGATTTGGGATGGAAGGGACCTTAAAGACCATCCAGAGATGGAGTAGCTACAGCTTTTCTGGGTAATCTGTGCCAGGGCCTCCCCATCCTCCCAGGGAATAATTCCTTCCCAATATCCCATCTATCCCTGCCCTCTGGCAGTGGGAAGCCATTCCTTGTGTCCTGTCCCTGCAGTCCCTTGTCCCCTGTCTCTGGGGCTCCCAGAGACCCTGTAGGCACTGGAAGGCTTGTGGTTTCCTTTTGAATTCCTTAAGTCCTCGTGATTTCCTATCACAATCCCAGAACTTCATCTTCTTAAAGCAGCTCTCAAAGTTGGGTTTTTAACTAAAGATAGCAAGAACTTGTTCTCAATATGAATGAATCCATGTTAAAACTGCATTTTGGGGTCTGTTTTCCCTTAATGCCTCCCTGAGCTTCACTGTGTGTCCATAACCATGATAATTACCTTACCTTTTCTGCTCTAATCATAATTAGCTGATAAATTGCAAACCATTCTCTAATGTCCCCCAAAATGAGGCATTGAACCTTTCCTCCTGCTCCTCCCCAGGGGTGTCTGGATCCACACCTGCAGCAGGTCACTGATCCAAGGGCAGAGGAGCCAGGGCCACATTGGCAGCTGAGTTTTGCAAACCTTCTGAAACTAAAAATATTGCAGAGTTGGCTCCCAGCCATAATTTCTAAACTATCCCATCTTCGGAGTAAACATTTGCTCTCATTGGTTTTTCCCTTCCAACGTTTTTGCTTCTATTTAAACCGTGGTTTGTTTGCTTTTGTTACCGTGATCGGATTCCCGGTCTGGGGAGCTGGGCTGCTTGGAGCAGGCTCAGGAACATCAAATGCTGCTCTGTACTCTTGTTAGTTCCCTTGGGGCTGTGCTGGGTTTTGTGGCTGTGTCCTTTGCACTTCAGAGATCTGAGTTTCTCCTCAGCAGCAATTTTTTTTCCCCCGCAATTTTGACGGAGAAGTTTGAGCAGAGCAAGGAGCATCAATCACTCAAATGGCTGATTGCATTTGCAGATTATTCTGTTCAGGCAAACATGGAATTTATTTGTCCCAAGTCATATTTCTCCTTTGGCAGGGAAAACCTGTGGTTGATCTTTTTGCCTGCTCAAATTACTCTTTCGGTCCCGACCATGCCCTGTGGGACTGGTTTGTCCCTTGTGCCAAGACCCATCACACGATGCTCAGTGGGGTTTGCAAACCCCCTGGAGGGACTGGGGGAGTCTCTTTATTGGGTAACCTGCTGTGGGTGTACAAGGAGGGGGTACAGACCTCAACTCTCACCTCACACTGTCTGGATCCTGCACCACCCTGGTTTCCACAAAAAACCTCACCTGACAACCTAAAATTCTCAAATCCTACAACTTTCTCAGGAGCAGGAACTGTAAAGATAAACCACTGCACTCCCCTGACAGGCCAACCCAGTGGGAAAAAGGATGTGGGGATGGATGGAGAGGAAACCTGCTGTCTCCATCCTGCACTCTGCAGCTGATGGGCAAATTCCAGCTTCAGGAGAAAAAGAGAGTGCTGGAGTGTTCAAGAGAGCTGTGCCCAGCCACCTGCAGAAGTGCCAGACCTTTCCCAAATGCCACTCCACTATTTATTGACTTTGCCTGTCACTTCCCCTAATATTTTCTTCTCCTTGCCACCATGTACAGCCTCAGCTTATTAATTGCCCCATGACACTTTCTCCTCTCTACATTATTCACCATCCAGACACTTCTAATGTAAGCAAGATATTTTTTGGAGTCAGGTGCATTTGCTGCTGGAACATTTCCAGCTGTTTCTTCAATAAATGTGCTGAAGGCCTTTGCAGAAGGGTATCAGTGCCAGAGCCCCCAGAGATGCTGTTTTCCCCCAGGAAATCCCACCCATTCCCATCCTAGACCAGGGCACCAGTGACTTCAATTGTTTGCTTTGTTCTCAGAAAAAGGGCTTCACCATCACTCAACCTAGTGCCCTCACGTGTCATCAGCAGTGGGTCTTTTTGGGCCATAGAATGGCTTTTTTGCAGCAATGCTGGTTGAAGGAGCTTTTTAAACCAGAGTGTTGTCTACGTCCCTTTCAGCACTTGACTCAAATTCCCCAGGTATTCAGAAATGCTTCCAAAAGGTTGTTCCAAACTGAGGTGGGGTTTGGGGTCATGGCTGTGCTGGAATCCAGCAGCTCTGTGGATCATGGTTGCCAAAACACCTCCACGATGTACACCCTCCTAAAAACCCTCCTAAAACTCGAGAGGGGATTTTCCGCTCCGGGCTGAGGTGCCTGGAGCCCGCGGCTCTGGGGTTTGTTATCCCTGGCAGGACCGGAGCAGGGGAGGCTGTGCTATGTCTCTGCTACTCAAAGTGGGACCACACAGCTATTCAATGAGTCTCCAGATGGTTTTCACAATGTCTTGAACTCATCTCTCTCATGGGTGGAATTGAAAAAGGCCAGAGAAGAGGCTCAGATATAAATTTCCCCATTCCCTAACATGGGGAAGCATGTGCTGCTGGTTGATGGCTGGGGAAGGTCTTGCTCTTCATTTCAGAAGAAACACAACAGTTGAAATGTTGATTTTTGGTTTTTTCCACACAAACAGGTATTTTCCTCCCCCTTGTGCTTTGCCAGCACACCACATGCTGAAGGAATTTACCAGATTAAGTCTTCAGAGCCCAGTAGCACGATCTCCCTTTTTCTCCTTGGGTTTTTTTTCCTCTCTCTGGCTGTCCCTGTGGGATTTCCCTGCCCTGTGATGCTTCTCACCAATCAATTCTTCATGCAATCAGTTAATTCTGCCACTATCCCACCATCAATCCCCTTCCTCTTCATGAATGCTGCACACATGTGTGAGTCCACGGCCATCCCCTTCTCTTTACCACCATCCCTCCTTCCCAACACCATCCACTCCCCAAATGCCCCTAACCCTGTGTCCCTCCCAGGGCTGGTGGGATGAGCACCAGAGGATGGGGTGTCCCTTGGGCCTGGCAGGGTAAAGGCAGATCCACGGATTTCCCTCCAGGTCCTCCAAATCCTGTCACAAAACAGCAGGAAGACGCTCTTGGGCAGCAGCAGTGCAGCTCCAGCAGCCTCCTCAGCCTCCCCTGCTCCCACCGAGCCCGGCTGCAGACCCTTGCCGTGGCAGAAAGCCCAGGGTAAACCAGGGCAGCAGCGCTGGATCCACCCAGCCCAGCTGCAGGCAGGAGCCTGACTGTGCACCCAGCCAGAGCCAGGCCGGGGTGACACAAAGCGAGCAGGGGAGAGGCTCCAGCAACGCCACGGGATTCTGTTGGGATCCCTGTGCCCCCACGGTGCCCCCCAGCTGGAGATCAGGCTGGGCTGGAAGCAGAAAGGAGCCTGTGAGCTCAGAGGAGCAGTGCTGGTGGCTGCAGCAGGAGCTGCACTGTTCATCTCGTGGCAGCAACAAGTCTCCAGCAAAGGCAGCTCTGAGAAGGCTTTCACCAGGGATGGGAGGCCCCTATCCCACTCTCCATAAATCAGCCAGAAGGGTTTCTGTGTCTTCCTTGCTGCTTTCCTTGTTTCCCAGGATTTTGCAAAATTCTGGGCTGAGCAGCCTATTTGGAAGGAAACTGCCCTAAACAACCCCTGAAAGAGGCAGTTGATAAAGGAACCGTTTACATTTCAAATAAATAAAACATTTTTGGCTTTGGATCAAAACCAAGTTGTGTTCAGTATTACCAGTTTCAGTGAGTCATTTCTTTTTATACCCAGGCAGTTTCTCTTATAAAATGTGCATGAGGACTCACTGTAAACAGGGCAGGAAGCAGACTGTGGGGTTTTTTTACTATTGCACAAGGTTTTCCCAGGACAGAGCCACCAAAGCTTTTCTCTTGCCTTGAAGCTGGTGCTTGTTTATGTGTGTTTACAAGCAAATTCCATTAAGAACCAAGAGTGATGCTGTGGATGGCTCTATTGTATGTTAGCACTGTATTTCCAGCTGGATGTTGCAAGTAACTCTGTATCCACTACAAATAGAAAACCTTTATAAACTTGAATTGGAGCTTCTGATTGTGGAGCCAAGGAACTTTCTTACAGGCAGAATAAAAACACAGGGTTTGCCCCTGTAAGCTGCAAAGGGAAGGAGTGGACTTGAGCACATACCCCTGTCCACCTGGGAGCACTAAGAGCTGGTGGTGATAAACAGGAGGAGAATAATATGTTAATGTTCCCCAAAAACCAATATCCAGCCCAGGTGGAGATTTGCCATGGCTCAACCATGAGCTTTAGCTCTCACCCACACTCGAGAGGTGCTTAATAGTATCAAAGACATCAGGGGTTCACAGTCTTCGTGGTGAAGTGATGGAGGTCAGTGCTGCAGCCCAGGTACTCCTCAGGAGCATTCTGTCAGCCATGTGAGATGGATGTGATCTTCTGCATGAGCTTTCCCAGTGGGAAGAGATGGTCATATATGTTTAAGTCCTTCAGATTGTTAGAAAGCAGGTAACTCATCTTTGAAGAGGAATATGAAGTATTAAAGTGAATTCTCCAAGTGCTGTTTGATCTTATAGCCTAGAAAGCATCCAAAAGAGGCTACGAGGGTGCTGAAGGATCAGGAGGGACCACAAGAGGAGCAGCTGAGAGCTGAGCTCTGTGTGTTCAGCTGGAGCAGAGGAGACTGAGCCCAGACCTCCCTGGGGTCTGCAGCTCCTCCCGAGGGCAGCTCCCATCTCTGCTCTGGGACAGGGACAGCAG